AAGGACAGATTTCAAGAGTCTTGAAAGTAAAGGGACTGAAGGCATAAATAACTTGTGATAAGGCGATGTCGGCGGCGAAGAGATTCACCAATGCGACGGCATACAGCGCTTTCCAGGCATTGTTCCACGTATTCAACGCAGGGGCAGATGCACCGAGTGTAAGTAGGAATTAATGCATCTCTATTATTTTAAAATAATTATTAAATTTAATTTAATGTGTTACGGAAAAAATTTGCATATTCATTATTTTTTAAAATAAAAAATAAAATTTTAGATTTTATTTTTAAATTTTTTGATACGTCACTGATTCAACACAAATCTAGTGGTTCTTAATCCCGACAACGACGATTCCAACACTAAACTACGAATTCCCAGCCCGAAATATTTCCACAGTCCATTAGTTTTGTATATATATGAAAGTAATCGAATCAACAAGTTTGACGGTGGCGGCGTTGGAAGCGGCGGCGGTGCTATGGTAATACCTGTGAAGTCCCAATGATGTGGCGAGACCTGCAATTCCAGCCCCCACAATCACCACTTCTTCAACAATTTACATTTTGAGACTTTTGGGTTCTCTTAATTCTCCACACGAATTTGGGATATTTTCTCCGAACAGAGTGAGATTTGTGGCTCAGACACCTCACAGGTAGGGTTGGGTATGGGTTGGGTTCAGTTGACCCGACTTGAACCGAAAATTATATACCTTCCACCTGACTTAATCTAATCCAAAAATTGTACATCCTTCACCAACTTGAAATTGACTCACTTTTTTAGATAAAATTTCAATCTGATTCGACTAGATCTGAAATAATATTTTTATAATATATAGAGATCTTATTACAATTATCCTTAAATATATAAAATAAAATTACTTTTTATCGGGTCGGATACTTTTCACCCTAAACCTGAACCAGACCTGAATATAATCTCTAAAAACTCAACTCGATCCGAACCTGAACTCAATTTTTTTAAAAAAATCAACCCGTTAAGGTCAAATTAGGTCGAAACCCGTCAAGTTCGAGTCTCATGCCTATCCCTACTCATAGCTACCACTGAAAAGTAGAGGTCAAATTAATAGTGTTAGCCACTCTATTCTCGTTAAAGTTGAGAGTCTTTCGAACATATACTAACTTATAATATTCTTAGATTAATAAAAAAAGAATAAAGTATACAAATGGTCCCCCGGCTATAAGATACTCTTTTATTGAGTTCATTGACTATTAAAAGTCACAAAAATGATCCATAGATTATATGTAGTTTCTTTGTTGAGTCATTCGACTATTAAATGTTACAAAAATGGCCACTCAACTATTCATTATGTTCCAAACTCATCCTTTTCCATTAAAAAATTAACGATCATCTGAGTTTGACGTTAACATGCTGACTTGGATATAATAGTCGTTTGAGATTATGAGATCAAATTTTATCATATCTTATTAAGCAAGTTAACGTACATCTTAGCCTATCGTCAATTTTTTAATGGAAAAAGACGAGTTTGGAACATAATGAATAGTCGGGTTACCTTTTTGTAACTTTTGATAGTCAAGGGGCTCAACAAAGCAACTCCCTATAGTCAGAAGACCATTTTGTAACTTTTAATATTCGAGGGACTTAATAAAATAATATGCTATATAATCAGGGGACCACTTATGTACTTTACCCTAAAAAATATTCTAATTAAAACACAACCTTGTACATTTTGAATATGTATATATCCCCTTTATGTGTATCTTATATGCCTTGGTCTATATGAGCTTGGTAAGTAAATTATTCGAAATGAATGATCAACAAAGCTTTAAATAATTTAACAAACAGAAACTAATAATTGGGAGAAGCTTGCAAAGAAAAGCTAATAAATCACATTAAATGAGAATGAAAAGGACAATCTTTTGTTATTCGAATTGGGATGAATATTGGAAATGGAAAAGAAGTTGTACGGTGCGATGAATATTAATGAATGTGTCTATATCATTATACCATCATAGATGAAACATAAATCTGAATATTTTACGTGAACTTCACACTATACTAATGTAAAATATGGATGGATGCATGCATGCATAACATCAACCCACTGTATTATCAGTGACGTATCTAGAAATATTTTAGAGTGGACACACGTAGGCTAGCAACACAAATTTTTTGAATGAGATGGACACATAAAATTTCAAGGCGGGCACCATTAATAAAGATTAAGAACTAAACGAAGAAAATTTGAATTTCAGGATGGGCGCGTATGTGGCTCCGTCACTATATATATAACAATAGAAAACGAGAAGATATTCACTAAAAAAAACAATGAGTTAATATTGTCATTTGATTTTTCTCGATCCAATGATCCTCAAAAGATGTAAAACTAAAAGAATTTTACATAATGTTAGTGGATCCTAACTAGGGATGGGCATGGGAACCGAACCCGACGGGTTCCGACCCGACCTGATCGGATCAGAGTTTTTTTAAATTCGGGTTCGGGTCGGGTTTAGTTCGGGTTTAGGGTGAAAAATGCCCGACTTAAAAAATATATAATTTTACCTTATATATTTAGGAATAATTAAAATAATATCCTATATATATATTTTTCAATTAAGTCACTGTTTTTATTGAATAAAAATAATATTTTTTATTATTTCGGGTCGAGTTTTTAAGTTATATATTGGGTCGGGTTCGGGTCAGGTGAAATTTTATTTTGGTCGGGTCGGGTCTGATCTCAGTGGAGGATTTTTTATTCTCGGGTCAGATCGGGTAGACCAAAAACCTGACCCATGCCCATCCCTAATCCTAACCCCTCTCTATATAAAAATATATATAAAGAGAGAAAATAAAGTGACCTTATAAAATGTACCCAATGTTTTGCATCATTTGGAGGCCAAACATTGCACCGTTGCTTGCACATTGGTTTCTTTTTTTATTAGAGTTAATCGCGTCATATTTCCTCAAAGACTCCCATTTTAAATTAGTCTTTAAATTTTTAAATATTCTAATTTCATCCCTAAATTATGATTCTTATTTTAAATTAGTCCTTAAATTTTCAAAAATTCTAATTTCATCACTAAACTATGTCCCTCTTTCTAAAATGGTCCCAAACTTTTGAATATTCCAACTCCATCCAAACATGTAACTAATTTCAACCATAGTCTAACCTAATGTTTTTTTTTATCCAAACATATAATAATATGACTTGGCCTAACGATTTTATTAACAAAAGATGTGATTGATATGTGCGTATAGTTTGGGATGAAATTGGAATGTTAAAAAAGTTTAGGGACCAATTTGGAATGAGTGTCATAATTTGGGGCTGAAATTAAAATATTCAAAAGTTTGAGGACTAATTTAAAATGATAGACATGATTTAGGGATGAAATTAGAGCATTTAAAAGTTAAGAACCAATTTAAAATGACAATCATACTTTGAGGACATGTGACTATAACTCTTTTTATCATAAACTTTATAGTTTATCGTTTTCAAAATCAATAGTCTTTCACGGAAGCTGCTCTCAACCTGGCGTTGGGGACAACCTACTACCCTACCTCCACTTACCCCATTGCATATGTGAATAGGATTTTATTGTTGTTGTTGTTCTTTATGACACATCCTTGAACTCAAACTTTTCGTATGTTTTATATATATATATTTTTCTATATTTTTATTAATAATTTATTTTTATCTTTAAAATTATATAAATAAACATCTACACGAATCTTTCCATGTTTTTCATCGACGTTTTCTATGATTGTCGATGCAGGAATCACATGAGTCATATTTTTTCTCTCTAGTCAAATGCATCGACATCGCGGAACTCATTGTTCTAAAATTCGAAGAAATTATCTCACTAATTAACCGGATTGATAACTCTAGGATCATATGCATACTCATAAAATTATATAAATTCGTCTCTTAACGTAAAATCTAGCTTTCGTCCCTACGTGTGTGATGATAGTCTAATATTGAGAGATGAAGAGCTTAACCACTAATCCAGGCTACAAAACTCAAGCCAAACCCTCTACACGAGTCTTTCCATATTTTTCATCATCGTCTTCTACAACTATTGATGCATGAATCACCTGATCTATGTTCTTTCTCACCAGTCGGATGCATCAACATCGTCGAACTCACTGTCCCCAAATTTGAAAAGATTCTCTCACTAACTAATCAGATTGATAACGCTAGGATCGTGTACATATTGATTTAGTCTTCTTCATCGTCGTTCCCATTATCACCCTTTGCAAAAACTTCTACTTTTTAAAATTTTTGAATCGAAATAAATTCTCATCATCCGTCGACCTATTAATAGCTCCCTTTGTCGGCCTCCATAACATGAGCAACGTTCTCTCCATAGCCACAAAATTAACCACTCGCTCCTATAAAAGGGATGGATCGAGAAATACTGAGATATGTTCATAGGGATGGATCGAGAAGTATTGAGATACGTTCATACTTTAAGAAATTTCAAAATACACAAGTTTATATTTATCCATTTTAAATTTCACACCTCGAGAAGTTTCTGTCTAAATTTTGTTTTCCATACTTATCAATTTTAAATTTGAGTAAATTATGTATATAGTACCTAAACTGTTAGTTTTGGTCTGTTTTAGTACCAACATTTTCAATTTCTTCAAAAACCATACATATAGTTTAGTTTTTGTTTCATTTTAATACATCATCGTTAAAAAATTTATTTTTTGTTTCATTTTAGTATCCCTTTTAAAATTTAACGTTAAGTTTTGAAAAAATTGAAAGTTTAGGTACTAAAATGGATCAAAACTGATTGTTTAAGTACTAAATGTGTAATATACCCTTAAAATTTTAGCATATGAAGCTTCTTCGTTTTGGGTTTTTTTTGGGGGTCTTGTTTCTCTCTCTCTTTATTGCCATGGGGGAGTGGATCCCAAAACTGGACCTTTGCTTAGCTGGCTTCAAGCTCTCCATTGTTGGTCTTTCATGGGTCATTGTCCGCTGAGAATTAGAGGGAGAAACAAGAGAGACAGCTAGAAAAGTGAGGTTTATTTATATAATATAAGTTGTTGGGGGCTAAACCAAAATCTTCTCTTTTCTCTGTGTACCAAAAAAAAAAAAATTCATCCATTTCATTGCCTTGATCAGTAGTTGAAAAACCAACCAAAACCCAAACTTTCCCTTCTTCTATAACTCTGGTTTGATTCATCCCTAGATCTGCAAATTCCAATTTTAACAGTTGAAATGAAGTTCCCCCCTTTCTTATTCCCAGATCCTTCTTTTCATACCAAAAGGTACCTTTTTTTTGTTTAATATATAATTTAGTTCTGTTTTCAATATTTAGTGTGGAATTATGATAATTAATGTGTTTAAAAGTGATATTTTTGAACTGGGTTTTGTTTTTTTTAAAGTTCTCAATGTGAAACATGAGACCTTCTGGATATTCTAATGGCTGACCAACTACTTTGTTTGAAAAACAAAACCCTTTGCTTTTTTTATTGTTGATTTTTTTTCAGCATGTCGTGCTGTTAAAGTCATTGACTGATCTGCTAGATTAGTTATCAAACTGTATGGTTCTTCTTGATTGATGCTGGTAATTTAGTTGCTTTTTTTAAGCTATTCATTTCACATTGCAGTGTTGCTTACCTCCTGGTGTTCTTTGTTGTTGATGTTGCTCTAGTGTTCCATTATTGTGTTGAGGAAGCAGAGGCGGATTCGGGTCGCTGTTCGGTTTAATTCGGGTTTGGTTATTGTTATTTTCGGTGGTCGTTTAGATTAGGCTTATTTGGAGGTTTTGTGGATGAGATGAGGGATGTTATCAGGGTTGATTAACCTTTTGAAGGCCTGTTTTTGGCCGAGGTCGGATCGTTATGTTCACGAAAGCGCAGATGTCGCAGGCCATCAAGATGGGCTCTTGTGGTACAAGGATATCGGACAGCATATTAACGGCGAGTTCTCCATGGCGGTGGTGCAGGCCAACAGTTTGATCGAAGACCAGAGCCAGCTTGAGTCTGGTTGTTTGTGCTCACACGAGTCAGGACCGTATGGTACTTTTGTTGGCGTATACGATGGGCATGGGGGACCTGAGACTTCGCGCCACATCAATGATCATCTCTTTCAACATCTCAAGCGTAAGACGCCTTTTCTTGACTTTCTGATCAGGGAAGTATAGCAACTTGTTTGGTAGAATTATCGGATTGAACGGAATTAGTGCGGTGAACTTGTAATAAGTTTCCGAGTCTCACTTTGTTGTTTTTGTTTTCCAGTATTGATTTGTTGTTTTAGATCCTTGGTATCTGTCTTTGACACTTATTTTTCTCATCCACTTTTGTATCAGTGATGTTTGTTATTCCGATATGTTTGTTATGTTTCAGGGTTCGCTTCCGAGCATCAGACAATGTCGGTTGACGTGATAAGAAAAGCATATCAAGCAACAGAAGAGGGTTTTACGTCTCTCGTTGCCAAACAATGGCCTACGAGCCCACAAATTGCAGCTGTTGGATCGTGCTGCCTGGTTGGTGTTATCTGTGGCGGCAACCTTTACGTTGCCAACCTTGGTGATTCGCGTGCCGTTTTGGGGAGAGCTGTGAGGGAAACGGGAGAGTATCTAGCCAGTCAGCTGTCTGAGGAGCATAATGTGTGCATAGAGTCTGTAAGACAGGAGCTGCAGTCGTTGCACCCTGACGACCCACAAATTGTTGTTTTGAAGCACAATGTATGGCGTGTAAAAGGTATTATACAGGTAAGTTTTTCACTATGCAAATAAATTTGATAGCTTGAACCAGTTCATGTTCAAGTTGAGCACTATAGAGCTCGCCGTTTATGAATAATCGGGGAGTTTGGTTTAGCCGTAGTTCGATTTATGCTGAATTCCAAGACAAAGGCTAGTTAAGCACTAATATGCTCGGTGGTGATCCCGGAGCTGGCTAGTTTCGGACTTTCAGGCTTTGTTATGGAAACATGATAGCTGTATAACCTTTCATCTCTATGCAGGTGCATGCATATCCTAATGTGCTCAGTTTTTGTTGCCTTGTCTTTTAGAGTTTTGCATTTTTTTCGGATTTTGCGGAGAGAATAAAGTGTACATTTCGATTTCTGCTTCGTAATGGCTCCGGAAAACAGTCTTTACGAATACTTCTCGAAAAACTTCGTGCACCTAGAAGTACAGTTTGTTTTATGGAGTTCTTATATTAAGAGACTCTACTGCTGCCATGGTCGATTCTGTAAAATTTCCTTGCTATTGATTTCCCTGCTTTGCTTTGTTGCCTCTTTTCGAGGATGTTTACTTAATAGAATGATCGATCTTTCAGATTTCACGATCAATCGGCGATGTATATTTGAAAAGGGCTGAGTTCAACAGGGAGCCTTTATATCCTAAATTTCGCCTCCGTGAGCCTTTTAAAATGCCGATACTGAGCGCCGACCCGTCGATATCAGTGCACAAGCTATTGCCATATGATAAGTTCCTGATATTTGCGTCGGATGGGCTCTGGGAGCACCTGAGCAATCAAGAAGCTGTCGATATAGTTCGAAAGCATTCTCGAAGTGTATGTTTAAGCCTTCATTCATTTATTCTCCCATGCATGCGAAGTGATAGTTGTTCAACAGATGAAATGGTATCTTAAGAGCTGAGAAATATTAACTGGGTTTTTCATGCAGGGAATTGCAAGGAGGCTGGTAAGGACTGCTCTACACGAAGCCGCGAAAAAGAGAGAAATGCGGTATTCCGACTTGAAGAAGATTGACCGGGGTGTCCGTCGGCATTTCCACGATGACATCACGGTAATCGTGGTGTTCCTTGACTCGAACCTTGTCAGCAGGGCTAGCTTCGTAAAGGGTCCAAACGTATCTGTTAGAGGGGGCGGAATTAACTTGCCTACTAATACACTAGCTCCTTGTACCACGCCGACGGAATCCGGCACGACCTGATCATTTATACGAATACCGAGTAGTTTCTGAACCGATACATGAACCGAGCCTTCAACTCTTTTAAGGTACAATGTAACTGCATCTAGCTTCTGTGCCGGAAAACTTAGAACTAAAGAGTACAAATATGATAATCACCTGTGATAGTTTCCCAAGTCTTTATTTAATAATCGTCTCCTTTTCTTTCTTGGTGCACTTGACATTGTTAAATCTTACGGAATCCGAAAATGGCGGATGGTTCCGTTCCGGTGAATGGCCAACGATGCCGGAAGCAAACTTTGTTCTTGTTATAATGTATGTTTGTAGCGGAACATGTTCCTTTGACCACATTTGCAATAGGTATTACACTTGTAAGTACTACTATCTGGCGCTGAGCTATAAATTCGACTCGAGTATTCGAGTCTCGAATATATTCGACATCGAAATCGAGCGAACATTTATAAAGATGGAAAGGAAAATCGAACAAGTGAATTGTGGTTACATGATATCATGTTCTTTTTATTAAATCATTGATAGGCAGAATGATACTCATGGTGGTCGGCAATTATGGAGTATTTGAACCATCTCTTTCTGTCCGAGTACCTTAAACATGGCTCAAGAACAAACCCGATCATAATTGCTACCATGCTGATCACCATGACTTTGAAAGATGCAAATGCTAAGACGACGAGAATCAGCAGTGTCGGCTGGATGCACATTATAATCGATCCGACCGTGCCAAGGGGGATCTTGTACGGCCTTGATTCCGCCGGATGGTCTATCCTCAGCTTCACGAATGCTATGAATTCCATGATCATTCCGAAACAATACAAGAAGTTCTCTGCCGCCACGATCTCCTGGAAGCTCATCCATGAGAGTAGTATAACACCGGAAGCGGAGAACAAGATTCCAACCAAAGGGGTTCCATAAGGAGACCTCTTTGCGAAAAGCTCGGGAAGCATCCCTCGAGTCGCCATTCCTTTGAGCTGGAACGAATCGCTGCTCATATCGGCGAGAAACATCCCCATGTTGGATAGAGCCGCCGCCGCTTGAATCCATGTTCGCAGCCAGACACCTCCAAGCATTTTACCAATGTCAGAGAAATATCCATCGGTCCAAAGCTCACGATCGAGTGGAACCCCCCGCCCCCGTACCGACCAGAAGAGGGAAAAAGTACCCGAAAATGACCAACAAAAGAGCATAAAACAGCTATTTCGGAAGAGTTCTGCTCAGATTCTCCACCTCGCCGGCCAGAGTACTACCAATCCTCCTGCACGCTCCATGCGAACGGAACTAGCAAAAAACCGAGGGCTAAAAGGGGACCGGCTGCTTGAACACTATCCTCAATGCCAAAAGGCCCACCTGAGACCTCATAGAAGATTAGGAAAACAAGAGGTATGACAGATACCTTTTGGTACTTATATTGCATGGGGCAAGAACGTTCCCCCAATTCGACATCGGCGGCGGCGGCGCTGCTTGGATCCACCATCTCAGCCGGGGTTTGCCTTGGCATTATATTTCTCTGTTTCTGCAAAAACAACATTCAAATCTAATAACCACACAGGACAATGATAGCATGAAAAAAGAACATCATACACAATTGAAAACAAAACAAGTAATAATCACTGAAATCAAAGAATTAAAAAGAACCCAGAAAATCCCAGAATTATGGGATCAAAAAGGTACCTTTAGAACACAAAGCAACCCAGAAAAATCCCCGGAATTACGAAATCAAAAAGGGTAAGCCCTTTGAAGCTAGAAGAACCAAGAAAAGGGTACCTTTAGAACACAAAAACAACCCAGAAAAAACCCAGAATTATGAGATCAAAAGGCTCTAGGCAATGAAACTAACCATGTGAAAGAAATGACTGCAATTGCATTCGAAGTTGATAAGACTTTAAACCAAAGCGGCAGGGGACGTGTCAGCAAGGGAGAAAACGTGACAAAAAGCTCAGCTGATCACGTGTCGTCGTCTATTTGAAAGTGTCGTTTTCTGATCCGTACGAGGAACAAAACATCGCAGGAAGACTAGTTTTTTCGAGGTAAAAAATGAAAGCTTGAAATCAGATCACAAGGAAAAAGGAAAAGCGATTCTGGGATTTGAATATCTGATCAAACGTAGGATTCCCCTTACGATTTGTTTTTCCACAAATCGATGAAACATTCTTCTGCCATGGAATAATCTCTGTTTCCAGAGAAATCACAAAGTGATCTGTTATTTCCAAGAAGTTAAGATTGCATGAGCAGATTATAAGAAACGCAATAAAACCAGGTTCTTTATTGCCCACTAGGTCATAAATATATATATATATATATATATATAGATATAAATTAGCCCATTTATCTCTAAAACTATTTTGGAATTTACGTAGGTAGGGGTGTTTAAAAATATCCGACTCTAACAACCCGACCCTCTGATCTGATCAAAAAATTTAGGTAATTTTATTTAAAAAATTTCAAGTTCTCGGTCGGTACCCGCCCGATATTTCTCGGGTCAGACCCGGGTCACAAAATTAAATTACTTCCGAGTACCTAGTTACATTTATTTTTTATATATATAATAATATTACATATTTAATTATTAATAATTTTATATATTAATTTAACTACTAAATTAAAAAAAAAACTCCCAAGAAAAAAACACTTTTAAAATTTCAATTTAGATGTTGGAGTATGAAATTCGAACAATTAAATTTGTGTATGTTTTTTTAAAATTAATAATTTAAATAAAAAATCTGGTACCCGATTACCCGAATTACAAGTACCCGCAAAATTCGAGTATCCGACAACATAAGGTCCAGGACACAGGTCGACAAATCAAATATCTGAGGACCAGGGTACCTGAATTTGAGCACCACTAAATGTAGGATAAACTCGTCACACTCACATGACTAGTTTACGCAAAAAATATTTTTTTTATTTAAACTCATCACGTCAAAGTGATGAGTTCAAATAAAATATAAATTTTTATTAGATTTTGCGATATCAGAGTGACATATTTCAATAAAAAATATATTTTATTGAAACTCGTTATGTCCACGTGAAAAGTTCCAAATCACTATAACAATTGTCACAGTTTTCAAAATAAAAAAATTGATATTGTATTCGGTTAAATAATTAGACCGCCTACAATATTTAGAATTTTGTTAATTTATTGACAATGCATCCACAATCAACACTCTGCAGACGCAATTTTTCGACTCTAAAGCCTCTAAGAAGAACAACATTTATGCATGATGAAATCCAATGAAGCCGCCACTTGTTCGTCATCGATTACCGGATAATTAAATGGCCTTAGAGATCTGTATGAATTGGTTGATGGTTGGCTTCAATTGCCTAGCACACAAAATTCCTTAGTCCAAAACTCCAGTGACCATGAATTGTTGAATGGATCTCTCAGGCTCTTGGATGTTTGTGGTTTACAAGGATGCTGTGTTGCAGGCCAAGGATGATACCCAACAACTTCAGTCGGTTTTTCGAAGAAGAAGAGGCGACGATTCCGGGTTCGCGAATGAAGTTAAATCATACTTAGCATCAAGGAAGAAAGCCAACAAGTTGATAAACAAGTCTTTGAAAGATTTAAAGATCAGCAAATGTGTTGCTCACAATGATGTTGAGACTACATGTAGCATGTTAAGAGATGTAGAAGGAGTTACTTTCTCAGTGTTGGAATCAGTTTTTTCCTACATGACTGCATCAATGCCGGAACCAAAATCGACCAACTGGTCTTTGGTGTCGAAGTCGATGCACTCGAAGCACGTAACCTGCGGGGGACGAGCTTCAACAACCAACGAATTCGAGAGGGTGAGTGCAACGCTGAGCAAGAGGAGGCCTCCAAGGGGAGTAGGGCCTCTCTTTGTCAATCATAAATTTCGAATGTCTTACTTTTCAAGCAATCATTTTATCTCTATATGAATTTTAACATGATTATTATGTGATCTTTCAAGATTGATTCCATCATCAGATGATTTTATCCATTTAATTGATCAGCCTACGTGTAGTCGTTATGACCACTAGCACCAAAAATCGCTATAAAACCCTCCAACCAAGATTGGAGGGATCTAGATCTTTATCTTCATCTTCAAAAAGTCAAACGACGTCTAAGAACGGCCTACAACATCACCATAAATCATTAGTTTTAATTCTTCATTTAAATCAGAAAGGACGAACTATCTATAACCGTCACAACTTAAATGTTACCATCATCAATACTAAAACATAAATATGCATTATCAAAGAATAAGTAACTAATGAAAGAAAATACAAATTTCAGGTAGGTACATAAATTTCAAAGTTGATATCATCAATAAAATAAATAAATAATTAAAAAAATTCAAATTTTAAGTGGGTACGTACATGCTATGACCAAGCTGTGACTTCGCCACATCAAACACATCAATAATCTAAATTTATAATAGTAATAGTATTATGTTAAGCACAAAAAGTGTGGGTGACAAAATCCATTACTTTTGTCTTCTTCTTTGTCTCTCTCCATGCATAGCAGCCATTGTTCATACCAATAAATAAACTCAAAACTGATTGTGTTGACACAAATGGCGCTCTTGCTTTGTTTTTTATTCATTTTTCTTTCGTCTGCCTTTGCTTGTGATCGCTGCCTGCACCAATCCAAGGCAGCTTCTTTCAACAAAGAGACTGCACTTTCATGTAAACACCTGCATTTTCCTGGTTTTTTTTTTTGCTTATTCTGTTGATATGATTAATACCCAGATCCTATTTCAGTGAGAAATTTGGTGGGTAACTTTTTGTTTTTGGTGTTTTTGGCTTTGATGTTGCAGCTGGTGCTTGTGGATATGGTTCCATGGCAGTTGGCTTAAGCGGTGGCTCTTCTCTTTACAAAGATGGAGCTGGTTGCGGTGCCTGCTTTCAGGTTTCTATACCCTATTGTGAAAAAAACGTGTTTTACTTGAAGAAATTTAAATAGCAATTATCGCGTTTTCGGTTGTGTTACATTTATTCGATTACGGATATAATATATGTTATATATTACGGTCATTAGGTGAATTTTTATTAGGTGAATATTTTTAGATGTGCACAATTAGATATAAAATAGGTAAAAAAGATAATAGAGTTCTATGTATTTAAAAAATAATAATGTCGTATGATTTTTTCACTTAATGTGACCCTCCAACTTAGAAAATAAGTTTAATGTAGCCCTTTGATCAACGTTTTTCATCGTTACCATTACAGTGCTGACGTGACAGTTCACATTGATGACGTGACGATCCATGGTGTTGATGTGACAGTCTACAGTGATTGATAACATGGTAGATAGACTAAATTGGTAACTCAAACATGGAAGATGGACTGTCACGTCAGTACCAAGGACCGCCACGTCAGCACCGTAACGACCAAACGACAAATAGCATTGGTCAGGCCAAGGGCAACATTGAGAGAAAAAAATAATACAATTGTCACATTTGTTTTTTTCAAAAGTATAGGGACCTCTGATGCCTTTTTATCTATAAAATATAACAGTTTGAAGAGTAAAGACAAATAGTCCCTCGACTATAGGGCATTGTTTTACTGAGTCCCTCAACTATTAAAAGTTATAAAATGGTCCCTCGACTATAGGACTTTGCTTTGTTGAGTCCATCAACTATTAAAAGTTACAAAATGGCCACCCTGCTATTCATATATTCCAAACTCATCCTTTTTTGTTAAAAAATTGATCACATTTTGAGCTAGACGTTACCTGTTTGGAAAATATGAATAATCAGGTGACCATTTTGTAACTTTTAATAATTGGGGGACTCAACAAAGCAATGCCTTATAATCAAGGGACCATCTCGTAACTTTTAATAGTTAGATGACTCAATCAAATAGTACTCTGTAGTCTAAGGACCATTTGTGTAGTTTATCCTAGTTTGAATTGCCAAACAAGATGTTGAATTTTTTTAATCACAATAGCCGGAATAACGACCCGATATGACCATTATTAACCATTACCCGTTAAGCTACAGTCGCTATTGATTATTATTGGTGTGAAGCTACTTCACATCGCTATTTTTTAAGATACAATTTCGGATGGTGTCGTTATCCCTGACCACTATTGTGATTGTGTATTGCTATTTTTTAAATCCCTTCTCTTTGAGTGTTGGAGTTTCAGTTTTGAACATATTTGTTGCAGGTAAGGTGCAAGAATTCAACTTTATGTAGCTGTAAAGGGACAAGGGTGACATTAACTGATATCAATCACACTAACGAAACAGATTTTGTTCTTGGCAACAAAGCTTTCATGGCCATGGCTAACCATGGCATGGGGCAACACATTTCGAAACTCGAGACGATCGACGTAAAGGTTAGCCTAGTTAGATCGAATTCATGTCAAACTCTAATAAATTTTATTGACGGTAAGTGACTTTCGTATTATCTTTGTGAAACATGATACCTTGTGGATATAGAAACCAGAACTTAGCTGTTAGAGTCGAAGAATCGAGTGAAAAGCCGAATTACTTGGCGATTAAATTGCTATACCAGGGAGGCCAGACGAAGATCGTAGCCATCGATGTAGCTCAGGTTAACCCGAACTCGAAATATTGTGGTGTGTTATGTGTTTTTAAGCAAACTTGAATCAAATTACATGATTTTAACGTTAAGTTTTGAAAAAAAATTAAAAATTTAGGTACTAAAACATACCAAAACTAATAGTTTACGTATTAAACGCGTTACGTTTTTAACGACGAGTACTACAATGAAACAAAAACTAAACGTTAGATATTATTTTGAAAAAATTAAAAGTTTAGGTACTAAAATGGATCGAAAGTGATAGTTTAGGTATTAAATGCATAGTTCACCCTAGGTTTTAAGATATGACTTGAATAACTATTTTTTTAGTAAGTAGCTGATTGATTTTAAAGTTCGAGTCAAGTCTTTCAGCTTTAAATTAGCATCAGTTAGTATCATAATATTATAAATAGTACAATTAAATTTAAACAGAAAATCAAACAACTCGACTCGACTCAAAATACCTCAAATAAATTTTTAGTTATAAAACAAGACTCGTCAACTTAATCAATTCAAATTTTTTTACTCGACTCGACCGAATACTCATCCTACATAAATTGTACCAATAAATTATAATATTAAATGATTTTACTCTAAAAACCCCAAAATTATTGTGTGGTCTATGATAAAGAACATTAGATAGGAGTATTCAACAAAATTTAATATTCAAGACATCATTTTGCTATTTGATTTAATTGAGTTGTTTAAATTGATAATCTTAATTCAACTAAAATTCAAAAAATTAAAATATTAATTTAAGTTAATTTCTTATTTTTTTTAAATAATTTTTTTAATGATTGATAATTGATTACATATATGATCAATCAAAATGATGAAATAAAAATTTAACATTTTTTAATGTTGTCAAAATAAATATCAAACCTTTTAAAATGACCGAATACTTATTTAACATTTCCGAATCTAATCAAATAATAATAATAATAATAAGGGTAAATTATGCTTTTAGCACCTAAGCTATCAATTTTAGTCTATTTTAGTACCTAAACTTTCAATTTTTTCAAAACCATACCTAAAGTTTAGGTTGTGTTTTATTTTAGTACCCGTTAAAAACTTAACTTTAAATTTTAATTTCTTTTTGAAAGTTTAGATACTAAAACGGATAAAAACTGATAGTTTAGATACTAAATGTTAGGTATGATTTTAAAAAAATTGAAAGTTTAGGTACTAAATAGATCAAAACTGATAGTTTACCCTAATAATAATGATATAAGAACAGTAAGCTTCTACTACTTGGTGGCTAATAATCTGTCAACTAATCATTTATAGAAACTTGATATCCAAACCTCAATCAACTATTGCCGTTGCCCCGGCCTTCTCATATACACAATTACATTTGCAGGGCAAAATCAATCAATCAATCTCACCTAAAACCCGAACCCGAAATGATTCTAATCCGAAATGATTCGCCTAAAACCCGAACCTAAAATGATTCTAATCCGAAATAATTCAATAATATTTAGTCTATACTGAACACTTCAAGTTCGGCTTGTTCTTGTTTGGTTAACATACTGCTTTCCCTATAAGGCAGGTCCTTGTACACGCCAATGCTATCTAAATAATCAACATCGAGCCAATCTGGATCATATTCATAACTCATTTGAAGAGCATCCATCCTGTTCTTCTTTTCATGATCCACAGAAGTTTGATTCCGAATTGTTTCAACTCCTTCAGTCTGACATAAGCAGCAATCTGGATTTTCATGAAACTCGTCCTTCCCGGGCATCGCTTCGTCCCGATTTCCCGTGAAGCCGATCTGATAAGTTCGAACATTAGACGAAAACTCTTCCCGTGTCGTGTTGTTTCGGTCCATGAACAATTTGTGCAGCTTCTTAGCATTGGGTCGAATTGTTGGTTTGTGTCCAAAGTATCTCCTGCATTAGGAAAAAAAAAAAAGAGTTTGATGATATGTTGTCAATGTGATTCGTTTATAGAACTGCATCCGAAGTTCACAGTTGTGTACCCCCGACCGGCTAACATTCTAGCCATGTTTCCATTATTGTTCGTGACGAAGATGTCACTTTCATCGCAGACGATATAATCCAGTGCGGCCATCCGACCGGAAAAAGAAGAAAATTGTGCCAACTCCTCGTTGGTGGCAAAGGTGTGTTTCGAATGAAAATTAGGGAAGAGTGCTTTGAGTGGTGCCAATGACTCTTCTCCTCCATGTACCTCACCTGATGCCACATAAATGTGAACATCACTTCCAAACCCCAATGCCCTCAGCATTAGACCGACTTCCTCCGGCGTCAACGGGCATTTTCCTTGCCTTCGTACCTTTTCGGGGTTGGTCACCTGCAGTTCATACCGGAATAAACATATTTTAATGCTCATTCAAGATATATTTAGGGATTATGTTCGGGTTGGTTTTGTTTGGGTTTAGGGTAAAAAATACTCGACCCGACCAGACTCACAAAATATAATTTTACCTTATATATTTGAGGATAATTACAATAATACCCTTCTATATATTATTTTTTTCAATTAAATTCCTATTTTTATTGAATAAAAATAATATTTTTAATAATTATATTATTCCGGGTCGGGTTTGGATTTTATCCCAAAAAGTCGGATCGCCTTCGGGTCGTGTAAAGGTGTATATTTTTCGGGTTGACCCAAACCCGCCCTGTGCCCATCCCTAGTTTGAATATCAACGATTGTAGGTATTTAAGCGTTCATTATCAAATAATTGAAAGTCTTTAGAACATACATTACTATTTGTAATCACCCTAAATTAAATTTTGAGATCTAAACTAAAATTCATGAACATACATTTATTGCAAACTCAAATAATCTTATGAGAGATAATTACTCTGATACAAAAAAAATTAGCTGACCATATTCCCATATGTAATGGGTTACGGGAAGGTAGGGTAGTAGGCTGCCCCAACGCTAAGTTGAGAGCAACTTCCGTGAAAGACCTCCGACCATTATGAATTTCCCACCGTGGGACTCTGATACAAGATTAATTTTATTGAAACATATTTGAGGAAAGACAATAGAGTAATATGAACAAAAAGAAAATTATATCTAGTAAAAATAATTTAAATTTTTAAATTTAAATTTTTATAATTTTTAATATTTTAGAATATTTTAAAATTTCAATTATTTGACAAAGTATTAACAAATTTGAAAACATTTATTTATATTTATTTAAATACTTTTTTTAAAATATTTTAAATAATATTTTGAATATTTGTTTAAAAATGATTGTAATATTTTCAAATTTATTTTAGGGTAAATTACAACATCACTAATTCTTGAGTAAATTTTTATTTTCTTCAATAAAGTTTTAAAAATAACAAATCGGTCACCAGCGATATCGATTTGTAACAAAATGATAACTAATATTATCGATTAGTAACAAAATGGTCACTCCATCGTCAACTCTGCTAAATTGATGATGTGACAACGTTAACAAAAAGTTTAATATTTTATTTTACCCCAAAACTATTACTAAAATATCAAATAAGTCATTGAACAATGATTTTATATCTAATTTACCCAAAAAAGTTTTAAAATTTCCATTTTTTTCCCAAACACCCCATTACCTTCACTATATTTGAACCACGTTTCTTACAAACGAAAATGACACTTAAACAATCAGGAGCACTTTCCTTAGTATTTGTTTCAACCACACTTCAACAAAACCTAATAGTTTAAAATTATCTCAAGCTACAATACCAATCTTCAAAACTCAGTGTTCTTGTTCTTATCTTACAGTGTTGAGTTGGAGTAAAGTACTTACCAATGTGCTCTATTCTCTCTTCAACATTTGATTTCTGGTTCGTGAGTTACTAGTTGTCTAAATATATAATGAAATAGAAAAAATAACATAATGGTTCACTCTTTTTTAGCAACAAAAGAAAAGGCAACTTATTGTCTAAATATCGATGTTTTATTTAAGTGTAGTTGAAATAAATACCAAGTAAACTACTCCTAATTGTTTAAGTGTGTTTTCTGTTTCGTAAGGAATGTAGTTCGAATATAATGGTGGTGGTGGGGTGTTCGGAAAAAATAAAAATTAGATATAAATTATTGGTTCAATGACCATTTTGATGTTTTTTTGGATAAGTAAGATTTTTTATTTATCCAGTAGAAAATACAAAGTCTCAAAGAAGGTCAAATACCACTATACAACAAAAATGCTTAGGCTATATTCCAATTGTTACAAAGAAGCATATTAACATTATCAAGCCTATTGAAATCTATATTCATATGTTGAAGTCCTACTATCTCTTTAATAGAACCAAGCAAGTCTTCAACAGTTCGAAATTTTCCTTGAAATATTCGACGGTTTCTCTCCTCCCAAACTTTGTAGATGAAAGCACACTATGCTATCTTCATAATAGAGGTTAAGAGAGACTTATCTTTCCAAGTTGATGAAGCCCACGCAAGCTTGACTTCCCAACACATTTGAGGAACGGACAGATGAGACAGGTTCAAAATACCATTCCAAAGAGAAGTGACCACAATGCAATCAACAAATAAATGATTTCTCGTTTCAAGAGCATCATTACATAAAATACAATAACCAGCATTAGTGAGCCCCATACGTAAAAGTCTTTCCCTAGTTGGAAGTCTATCAAGGATCACCAACCAAGTAATAACACTAAGTTTAGGGATGTGAAGGGGAAACCAAATAAGTGTTTGCCAAGAGACTTTATCATGTTTGTGTCTTACTTCTTCCCAAATCCCTTTAGCAGTCGTGATTCCAGCATTAAGAATGGGGATGGCATCATTTTTCAGTTTCAAAAGTTTTTTAAAGATGTAGATTGAGGATGCACTAGAAGGCATTTGGCTTAAATCATTATTTTTGATAGCGTAAATATAAGTCCAAGCAATCCACAAAGAACCTTGACCAGCAAGAAGATTGTGAATTAACAAAATCATGCAAACCTTATTCCAGGATTTTAAATCTTTTAAGCCTAGCCCTCCTTCAGATTTAGGTTTGCATAAATTACTCCAACTTACTCTAGCTCCAGAGGCTGAAGTATCAGAGCCTCTCCATAGATATCTTGAGCAAAGTTGGTTTATTATGTTAATAACAGATTGAGGAAGCAGGAATTGGCGACACCAGAAGTTTGCAATGTTCTGTAAAACAGTTTTTATGAGTTCTAACCTTCCAGCATAGCTTAAGTGCCTCCCAGACCACTGGTGGATTCTGGATTTGATTTTATCGATAAGAGGGAAGCAGTCCTTAATAGTGAGTTTTTTAGGAACAAGCGGAACCCCTAGATATCTCACTGGTAGAAGGCCTATCTTGAAACCAGTGGATATTTTGATGAGTTCAAGGTTCCTTGGAGAAATTCCTGCTGCAAAAATTTCTGATTTAGCCACATTTAGTTGGAGTCCAGAGATTTCATAAATTTTTGAAGAGCAGAAATAACTCCAACAATAGACTCCATTTTGATGTTTTAGCAGTAGTTTAGGGGTAAAAATAAATTATTGATCGATTTGTTACTTTTGAAATTTCAATGGAAAAACAAAATATTTCTCAAACATTAGTGACTACTGGTGTAGTTTACCCTTTATTTTATAGAGTAAAATAAATTTTAAGTATATCTGATATAAACTCTACTCAAACCTAAATAAAATAAATGAAAAATATGTATTATAATATAAGTTTTTATTTAACAATATATATTAATTTTTTTATTTAAATTAAAAAAACGTAAAATTAATAAACAAAATATTGTTATTGCTAACTTAAGGGTGCGTTTGGTTCACGGAATGTAAGATTACCAATGGGAATAAAAGATTACCAGGGAATAGGATTACTAGGAATGTTGTATTTTGTATTTGGTTGGTTTAGCAGGAATGTAAGATTACCATGTTTGATTAAAGGAATAAAAGATTATTGGAATGTATATTTTACCAAATTGTCCTTATTATATATTTGTTCTTTTAACAAGTTGGAAAATATTTATATATTTTCTTTAAAAAAAATAAATTCATAAAATTTATATAATTTTTTAAAAAAATTGAAATATAAAAAAGTTTAATGAAAGGGTAAAATTTTATTTTAACCCTTGAACTTCATATAAAATTTTAATTATAGATTTTTTTTTTATAAATCTAAAATAGTTTAAGGATAAATTTATAATTTAACCTTCGTAAAATTTTTATTATTCAATGACAAAATAAGGATATTTTTGGAAAAAATAATTTTAAGGGCATTTTAGTCCAAAACGTCGGTAATCCAACAATACCTAAGGAAAGAGAGGTAATGACATGCCCGATAATATACCCCAAAAAATCCACTATTGGTAATGTAAGATTACCGGGAATGACATTCCCGACCAACTAAACGAGGGAATGTGAATTCAATTCCCACGAAAATCTCACATTCCCCCAATTAAACACACCCTGGTTATGAAGTTTCCTATAAAGTCTTATGTTAAGTAGGTGATAATTAAGATAGGTAGCTAGTTGCCTACTTTGATGCATGAAATTGTTGTCAAGCACCTAAAGCTTGTCTAAAATATTGGTTAGGTGAATTCTCTAATCTAGTTTGGTTTAGTATAAAGAAAATTACGATAAAATTTAGGGTAAATTACACATTTAGTACTTGAATTATTAGTTTTGGTCCGTTTTAGTATCTAATTTTTTTTATAAAAAAATATACCTAACGTTTAGTTTTTGTTTCATTTTAGTACCCCACCGTTAAAAACTTAACGGACGAGCTTGTTGGCCGTTGCATCTATAGTTTTCAGTCTTCGTATTCGTTGGCCTATTAAGCCCAAAATTTTCAACCTGTACCTTTTCGATCCTTTAAAGCAATTTCAACCTCCGTTTCACAGGAAACACTTCAATCTCCCTAAATAGACGATGTACTCTTTGATTTCTTCATCCTCCAATCTCCGTCGTCAATAGTCCGATAGCCTGAAATTAAATTATGTTGGTTGACTCGTCATTCTTTAGTGGTTTAATTTAGTATTTGATTTTAGTTTCAAGATTTAATTTAGTATCTAGTTTTAGTTTCAAAGTCTAATTAGTACTTAAATTTGATTCGTAATACTTAATATTTTAATTAATTTTAACCAATAAGTTTTTATGTACCAATTTGAACATGAAATCAAATTCAAGTATCTAATTAGATTAAAAAAATTAAGTATCAAATTAAACGTTGAAGCTAAATTTAGGTCCTAAAACAATTTAATAATAATAAAAATGTTAAACAAAACATTTAGTGCCTAAACTATTATTTTTGTTATGTTTTAGCACTCAACTTCCAAAATCATACCTAATATTTAATTTATATTTCAATATGGTACGTTATTAAAAAATTAACAGAATTATTTGCGTAATATTTTTAATGATGACATAACATTATCTTATAATGACACGTCAACATCACCGTTAAGTTTATAATTGCGGGTATCAAAATGAAACTTAAACTAAACATTAGATTCGGTTTTGAAAAATAATTGAGTACTAAAACAGAATAAAAATAATAGTTTATATACTAAACGCGGAGTTTACCCTAATAAGGAATAGATAGAATAAGAAAATCACGGTGACAGGTAATCTGGAATTATCGACAGCCAGCAAAAGCAAACGAAAGGGGAAGAAGCATGAGCGGCAGTCAAGAGAAGCTAAAACCATCAAGCTCCGAATTGGATTTGGATCGACCCAATATCGAAGATTATCTCCCTTCTGGCGCCTCCATTCAAGAACCCCATGGCAAGCTTCGCCTGTAATTCTCACTTCCCCTCTTTTTCCCCCATCGTTTTCTCTTGAGAATCAGTTAATTATTTGATAGATTGATTTTTTGATTATGATTTTTTTGATCGCGACTTCAGAAGCGATGTGCTTGACATTTCTCCCATCTTAACTGAAGCTGCTGGTGCAATTGTTGATGTAATCGCTCTCTCTCTCTCTCTCTCTCTCCCTATATATATATCCTTAATTCATTGTAACAAATCTGCATGTTTCTATGGAAATAAAACAAATTCAAATACTTTGATGAGCTTATTTATATGGGTTTATATGATTTTTTTCCTCTAAAGTTTCGATCTTGAGAAGATTGGTGGATTTTTTTTCTTCTTTTCAAGATTTAATTGATTGTAGCTGTGTTGTCAATGAGCAGGATTCATTCACGCGGTGTTTTAAGTCGAATCCTCCGGAGCCGTGGAACTGGAATGTGTATTTGTTTCCTCTCTGGTGTTTCGGTGTGGTATTTCGGTACTTGATTTTGTTCCCTGCAAGGTTAGCCTTTCTTCTTCTCGAAAGTGACATCGAATTGTTTAAAGCGTGACGGTGTTTTTCTGAATGAAGTTTGCTTGTCATGGTTTGAGTGTATGATATGCTGAAATGCTTGGGTTTTATATGAGTTTTCCGTTATGCTGTTTGATCCGCAGGGCTATAGTTTTGACAATAGGATGGATAATATTTCTGTCGTGCTTCATTCCTGTTCACTTTCTTCTCGAAGGGAACGATGCCTTGCGGAAAAAGTTGGAGGTTTGAACTTTTATGCATTTTCATGCAACTTTTATTTCTCTGTTTGTCTCTAGGTGTATGTGTATGTGCATGCGCTGATTTGCATGCATGTGTGGCGATGATGGCAGAAAAGGTTTGAAGTTCTAAAATGGATACTTTTGCCATTCTCGCTTTGGGATTTCCTATATATTTCTAGCAAACTTGTTACTTACCTTTTTTTTAGTGCATTTTTCATTGAAATGATTATGCTTATACTTAGTTTGTCATATTTTCTTTTCAGAGGGTTTTGGTGGAGCTAATCTGCAGCTTCTTTGTTGCTTCCTGGACTGGAGTGGTCAAGTACCATGGACCACGGCCTAGCATGCGGCCCAAGCAGGTTTAGCTCACTCTTCATTCTGCCCTTTATAGCACTAAGATTTTGGTTATCGATTTAGTTTCATAAAGGTTCTGTCTGGTTCTTTAGTACTCCTTTGATGCTGCCTCTCTCTGCAAATTAAAATATAACTGATCTTTCTTCCGTGGATTGAACAGGTGTTTGTGGCCAATCATACTTCTATGATTGATTTCATCATATTAGAACAGATGACTGCATTTGCTGTCATTATGCAGAAGCACCCTGGATGGGTTGGTGAGTAGTAATGCAGAACTTACATGCTTTGGAGTGATGCATGCATATTTTAATGTTTTGGGGGATATTTAACTAGCTGATTACTTCTGTAGCATATAATTTTTTAATGTTATAGGGGATTATTCGTTAGCTGATTACTTCCGTTGTGTATAGGTATTAATGTTGTAGGGAGTATTAATTAGCTGACTATTTCTGTTGCATATAAATTTTTAATGTTATAGGAGATTATTCGTTAGCCAATTACTTTCACATATTGTGAAATATATATTTTTTGTGTTCTGCAAAACTTCTCCCTTTTCTGTTGTTTTGTTTGATTCGAGCTTTTAAGATTTCCTACCGATACCTTAATAAATCTTTACTATTATTTCTACATGTAGGGCTGCTACAGAGCACTATTTTAGAGAGTGTAGGGTGTATTTGGTTTAACCGTTCAGAGGCCAAAGATCGTGAAATTGTAGCTAAGAAGTAAGCACAATCAGAGTAGGGAAAATATTTATATCAATATTATTTCCGTCTCATCGCTCATGGTTGTATAAACTTCTGAATTTCAGGTTAAGGGATCATAGTCAGGGGGCTGACAACAACCCTCTTCTCATATTTCCTGAAGGGACGTGTGTAAACAATCAATACAGTGTTATGTTCAAGAAGGTATAAAATTTGGGGAGAACAGCTTAAGTTGTTCCTTTCTTGTGCGTCCTACGTCCGTTGACATATTGGTTTCTCTGATGATGTTTAGGGTGCGTTCGAACTTGGTTGCACAGTTTGCCCGATTGCAATAAAGTACAATAAAATTTTTGTTGATGCCTTTTGGAATAGCCGGAAGTAAGGAATTGATCCCCGAGTCTTCAACTGTCCCGACACAAATATATAATGTCTTTTATGTTTTGTGATACCTGTGAAGTCTTACCAATATTCCCCTTCCTGCAGGCAGTCCTTCACAATACATTTGTTGCAGCTTATGACATCCTGGGCTGTTGTTTGCGATGTTTGGTACCTAGAGCCCCAAAATCTAAGGCCCGGAGAAACGCCCATTGAGTTTGCGGAGAGGTTAGTCTTACTGGTTGAGGTCACCGATTAACACGTTTCAAGCCTTGATTCAGATGATATATCGTTCTATACAGGGTCCGAGACATAATATCTGTTCGAGCAGGTCTCAAAAAGGTTCCATGGGATGGATATCTGAAGTATTCTCTCCCAAGCCCCAAGCATAGAGAGCGGAAGTAAGAAAACCTCTTCTATTCCTTGCCCTCTTTCCTTACTGTCATAACTCATAACACAGTATCTTTAAGATCTTAAATGATAGCTGCGACCATGAGTTCGTTATCGGTTGTTTGTTTGTCAATGCATCAACAAATTACCATCTAAATAATTTATCCGCATGCTTGCAACTCGGTCCCTTGTCCCCGGTAACCTACCTTGTAACAGGATTTTCCAGTCCTCGTCTTAACATAGGGGATCCGTTTTTTGAGTAAAAACTTATGTTGATATATTGTTTATATACGTTTGCCCTCAATTCATAAACATAGTTAAATCGGTTAGTAGCCGATAAGTACTCGATACTGAAAATTCTCGACAGATTTTCTACATGAAGCATGCTGTTCATTATTTACGTTGACGTGTTTCGATCCACGAATGGTGTTCTAAATGGGTTATTGTTGCACTTTGCAGACAACAAAGCTTTGCTGAATCTGTTCTTCGGCGACTGGAAGAGAAGTGATTATCATAATGTACATTTTGTTCGGTTAATGTATGGATTGCTCATTTGATCTTTGGTCCAGGTTGTTGATAGGTCAAAGATATTACTGTCTCCTTGTTAGTGTAAGCATGAAGAATGTAACATTGGAATAAGATAAATATGAGTTTAAACGCTTTCGAACCTATGGTCCTTGGTAGGGATGGCCACTGGTTGGGTTAGGGTCGGGTTTTTATTTAATTCAACCTGACCTGAAATATATATCATCCACCTGAACTCGACCCGACCTAAAATTTTATATTATCCGTCTTGACCCGACCCAAATTTTTAGAGTATAAACTTAACTGGACTCGACCAGGTATAAAGTAAAGAATTAATTTAAAAAATAATTATTTTTTTAATAAAATTACATTATTATCATATTAATCAAATTCTTTCGTCAATCGTATAGTTGATTGGACAATAATTCAAATGTTTAAAAATATAAGGTAAAATAAACAAATGGTCCCTAAACTATAGGTTATTACTTTATAAAGTTCATTGATTATTAAAAATTATAAAATGATATTCTAACTATAGAGTGTTGTTTTGTTAAGTCTCTCGATTATTAAGAGTTACAAGAAAGATCACTCAAAATCACTCTTTTCTGTTAAAAAGTTGACGGTTGTCTAAGATGAACATTAATTTGATGATTGTGATATAATAGTCGTTTGAGATTCTGAAATTAGATTATCACGTTTAACAAGTTAACGTTCATCTCAAAATACCATCCATTTTTTAACAAAAAATGACGAGTTTGGAACATAATGAATAATCGAGTGACTATTTTGTAACTTTTAATAGTCGATGAACTTAATAAAGTAGTATCCTATAGTCAGGGGACCATTTGTGTACTTTATCAAAAAATATATTGTTATTAGCATATTTATACTTTTAGAATTCAATTAAAACATTTCAAAGTTTTAGGACTGATAAAAATAAACCACAATTTTCGGACATCGAACGCAATTTACCCCTTTGTTTAGAAGCGGACGGCTCTATGCTAATAGGCTGAAAATACAGTGGGCCGAAGAAAAGGGAAGTCCGGATAAACCGTAGATTGAGATCGACGCCCACAGTTGGGTAATCGGATTCACTTCCTTTGTTGTTGAAAATTTTGAAACTACCTCTCCGTAGTTTATCAATGGCGATGATTCGATTCACCGCTTTAGACGATTCTTTCATGATTTTAGCTTCTTAATTCGACCTTAACTTTCTCCACCGCTACTCACTTGCTTCCTCTAGAAAAAGGTATTTTTCTTTCCTTTTTTTTTAAATTTTTTTCCTACGTAATTTCATGTTTCCTCTGCTTCGTTTTTTCTCGAGAACCAAACAAAAAACTCTATAGGTTGATTTCTCTAGGCTCTGTGAAGAGAAATTCAGTTTCGCTATTGCGTGTTGGAAATAATATCTTGAAATTCAGTTATTTTTGCCGTTTGCTCTGTTTCGCTTCATTTCTCTTTGTTTAATTCTTAATTGTTTTATATGCTTGTGTTATTAGATGAATTTTCATTTATTTATTTATTTTGTTTCTTCCGCATATCTTGCTTTGCTCACATTTGGAATTTAATAATTACTTTATTTTTGTCTAATTTTTTAATGTGATTTTCAGGTCTGGTAGATTATAAAACTGATAATTGTGCGGAATGGCACAGCCATGTTTCAGAGGTTCCGCAATTTCAAGTGGATTGACACATAAAAAGGAATGGAACAGGATAAATAAGTATACGAGTTCTCATTCTTTGTTAAACCAGCATGAAATTTGTAGATTTAGGAAGGAATTAGGCTACAAAGATGATCAGAGAAGCTGCCACCTATCTGCGGTGCATAGAAATTCATTGTGGTCGCCATTACCGACACAAAGAAAATGCTGTTCTCCAACACTTCACAGTAAGTTAGGTTCTGGTTTTGGTGTGGAAGATGCCGAGGAGAGAATCACTTTGAATGAACAAGAGGATACTGCCCGGATAAATTCAATTGCAACTGAAAATGTTGATGTTCAGTAAGATTTTTGTGACACATTGTCTCGTTATTTTATAGTTACGTTGTTAAAGTTTTGATGTAGTTCGGTTTGTGTAATGGTTGTGAAAATCATATTGATTGATTTCTGGAATATAATGTTTTCTTCCCCTTCTAGCATAACGGTAAAATAGAACTTTAAGTAATAGAGGAAGTGAAATAAGTCGACTTTGTAAAATCATGTATCATTCATGCTACCATTATGAAATGCAAAAATTATTTCAGAACCGGTGCTCCGTATATGCTTCCTTCTTTCATTGCCACATTCTTAGTGGTTGAGCTGAACTTTGAATTTTCACTATGCAGTGAGCTGACAGAAACTTCTGTGGATGTGAAGAGGGAACTTATTATGCTTTCTCTGCCTGCGATTGCTGGACAGGCTATTGATCCCTTTGCACAACTGATGGAGACAGCATACATTGGAAGATATAGTATGAACTTTATTTTAAGTTTGTTCCATTGATTTAATCGCTAAAATAACTATATTTTCCTTCTTTTGGTTATTTTATGCGATCATGCGAACAATGATTGTTCTTTGGTAATAGACTAAATATTTAGGAGTTTTTTTGTGATTTCTTTGTTAGTCTTTTGATATAATCATAGCTTTCTGAAGGATATTCTTCTCTATAAATATGGGTGTATTACTAGTATTCTCTGTTGCAAATTGCAACACGCTACTTCAAAAAATGATTTTGTATATTTATGCCGACTTTTGTGCAGTTTCATGTAATTGGAATTTTGAAAATTGATAAAATCTTCCTCTTGAGCGTGCAATTTTATTATATTTATGGAGATGCTTCTTTGTTGTTTCGGCAGGTTCCGTGGCATTAGCCTCTGCAGGTGTTTCTGTATCGATTTTTAACATGGTATCAAAGTTGTTCAATATTCCTCTCTTCAGTGTTGCGACTTCCTTTGTTGCTGAAGACATCTCTAGGAATGCTATTGAAAATTTGTCAGCAGGTGAATTTTTAGAGATAGGTGCTGCATGCTGGTTTTTGGTGACTATTGTCTCTAGTTTATGTTACCTGACTTATGTACATGATTGAACATTTTTCATATGATCTTTGACTATTTGAATTCTCATTTTGAAGCGGAGAGTACTAATGGTAGGACTCTTGAAAGAAAACAATTGTCATCAGTGTCTACTGCTTTACTTCTAGCAATTTTGATTGGCATCATTGAGGCATTGGCGTTATCTCTTGGATCTGGATTGTTTCTTAAGTTGATGGGAGTACCCGCTGTAAGTTTAGGTTTATTGTAGATTTATTTTTATTTGTTTTTTAGTTATCTTTCTCCTGTTCCTCCTTTGCTAAAATACTGCTAGGTATTAATGTGGAGGCTTCGTGTCTTGTTTTTCTCCTCTTAACAGACATCAGATATGCATGTTCCGGCAAAACATTTTCTTACGCTTAGAGCTCTTGGGGCTCCCGCTGTGGCAATCTCTTTGGCTCTTCAAGGAATTTTTCGTGGTTTCAAAGATACACAGACTCCTGTTTTCTGTTTAGGTAAGCGTTTGGAAGGGCTGTGCCTGGAATGAGCTATGTATACTTGGAAAGTTGGAATGTAATTTGGATCTAAAAACTTACTTTTTGTTGAACGCGTACCTTAGAATACATGGTCTGTAATTTAGGTCTACAAACTTTCTTTACCATTTAGCTGCAGAATTAGCTAGCTGATCCATAGACTTTCAATGATCAGTAGCATTAAGTGTGTAGAAATCATTTAAAATTTAAGTGATGATCTACAAACCTGACACGAGGATGCAAAAATCTCGGTGTAATAGTTTTGAAATTAACCTTTTTCCTCTTTTTTGGTCCTGCAGGACCTACACCTGTTCATTTGTAATTACTCTTTTATCCATTGGAATAGAACCAGTTCTGGTCTATAATATTTTAAACTGATTATGGTTTATGTTTCTCTTGGTCTTTTAACTCTCCTGGTTGACTGAATCTTGTATGTGCGTGTTGGGATTGCTCCCCCTCCACCCCCCCCCCCCAAACAACAACCCCAACAAAAAAACCCACAGACACACACACAGATACACACACATCATTTATCATCTTTTAAGTGTTACTCTGAAGATTGAAGCACTGTTAATGGTATAGAAGAAAGGGAGAATTTGATACGTCTAAAGCATGCAGTAGTTCTTTGTTACTTATTTTATCCAGTCATTAACGATAAATATGTTAGGTTTCTCTTTTGTGATATCCCTCTTTTTTTGACTAATTAGTTTAGTTGCTTCTAATGCAGGTGTTGGTAATGTATTATCCATATTCTTTTTTCCCATACTAATGTTTGGCTTTCGAATGGGTGTGACTGGGGCAGCTCTCTCTACTGTTTTATCTCAGTAAGCAAATCTGCTTTGGGCATTAATTTGCTTCTTCCCTTCAATGATTTGTTTCCATGGAAATGATACTACAATATCTTCTCGTGTCAGGTACATTGTTGCCTTTCTGCTGATTAGGCATTTAAACAAGAAAGTTGTATTATTGCCCCCAAAGATTGGGGAATTGCAATTTGGTGGCTACGTAAAATCTGGTAAATTTTTTTACTAGCTTCAAAAGACAAGATTGTGCTATGTGGAGAACAATTTTTTATTATGATTGTATCCCTCCATTTCATAACCTTTGTGTGCTTAGGATGTCTAGCATTTATGTTCTGGGATGGCTATATATTTTTAAGTTATTTATTTTCTTACAGAAAATGGTTTTTACAGGTGGTTTTCTTATTGGAAGAACTCTTTCAGTACTAATGACAATGACACTGGGAACTTCTATGGCTGCTCGTCAAGGTTCACTGCCCATGGCTGCGCATCAGATATGCATGCAAGTATGGCTTGCCGTATCTCTTCTAACAGATGCGCTTGCAACATCTGGTCAGGTACATAATTTCCCGAGGGGATATCTGTAATTTATTCGCATTTACTCATATTACCTATTGAGATTTTAACCAAAACAATCATCGAAATAAGAGAGAGATCTAAATTCAGATCCTTATGGTTACAAACAAGTGCTGACAGACTGTAAACCATTATTTTGCTTGTCTAGATTAGCGAGGAATAATGCCGCCCTTCTTTCTGACATTTTTCTTTTTGTAGGCATTGATTAAGGTTACCTATCTCAAGGCGACCTACGGACTGTGAAGGAAATTGCTAACTTTGTGCTGAAAGTAAGCTTTTACCAGGATTTTCTTATAATTGTTATCACCAATTATTTTGTTGATATCTGGCTTTTGATATACCAATCACTAACTTGATGCACGTGGCTTTACAGTTTGGGGTTGTCACTGGTGTTTCGTTGGCTGCAATCCTGGGTGTGTCATTTAGTTCTTTAGCGACCTTGTTCACGCAAGATGCTCAAGTTCTAGCGATTGTTAGGACTGGAGTGCTGGTAAGTATTCAAATTAACATCCAGTAAGCTACATTTATGATTGTCCTCGGATCTGTATAATGATTTCTTATAAAATTATTGTAGTTCGTCAGTGCTAGTCAACCTATAAATGCCTTGGCGTTTATATTTGATGGTCTCCATTATGGTGTCTCGGACTTTCCTTATGCAGCTTGTTCTATGGTATGCCTATTGAGAATTTCAGTGACTAATTTTAGGTACAAAATAATAGATTGCTTTGTCTAACATGTATGTTATGTGATCTCCAGATGTTGCTGAGTGCCGTCTCTTCTGCATTTTTGCTCTTTGCCCCAAAAACTCTCGGTCTTCGAGGGGTTTGGTTGGGCTTAACTCTATTTATGGCTCTGCGGACGACAGCAGGATTTGTTAGGTAAAATTTCTGAGAACGAATTTTATGTTACGAGCTATGTTCCATTTTTCCAAGACCGAGTCTAAGACTCTAAAGACTTCAAAGTATTGCCAAATACAAATTTTTGTGCCAACGTATTCTAATATTTACGCATCTTTGATTATATGTTTGTTTTTACAGAATACTATCGAAAACCGGGCCTTGGTGGTTCCTGCACAAGGACTTGGACAGAGGTGAGCTTAGTGTATCTTCATAAAAACCGCTCATCATTGTTTGAACTTCTTTCGTTGAAATGACACCGGTAAAACTTTATAAATTCGATTATGATATGGAAAATTAACTACAACATGATACGAAATAAGTACCTTAGATCTTAAACAAACCATGAACACTCGATTACGGTACACGGTCTATTAAACACACCTTATATGCAAAGCACCGATGCACTTTATACAATAGTATCCTCCCGAGTATGTCCATTGAGAAGCTCTGCTATCCATCCGCATCTCATTTACTCTCCAAGAACCCGAGTACAGCTAGTTGTGGCATCAAAACAACAATGCTCAGGTTATATCGCATTTCGTACTCGTGTTTGAAGTGTTTTATATTACATCGTGCATCAACAGGTTATTGCGGATAACTGACCTGTAGAGTGGAAGGGCTGCATCGGGGGAACCAGATATGCACTTTTGGATGGTTTGAGAGATGAAACTTTATTTGAGCTTTTGAATCCGGTGGCCAAGATGAGTAGGTATGCTTCCATTGGCGGAGTGTCAACCACCTTCAACCAACACACCATTTTTTGCATAAACCCAAGCTCGGGGCCTTCTTTCGATCTGTTTTCTCCCTCTTCAACCTAGTCGTAGATATTTTCCGGGACAGTCGAGGAGGAGGCTGTGTTGGGTACCATGCCATGCTTTGCCAAACGAAGCTAGATCTGTTTTATTACTTTCAACAAATTTTGAACATGCATCTGTGTCAAAGAACAATTGAACACCCATTAGAGAAGTATATACTATGTTATTTTAAACACCCGATTTAGATCGATAAACCAAAATCCCCATTTTTTTATTTAGTGATAAGATGAATATTTTTTCTTTATGAATTTTTATTATATTATAATATATTTCTTTAATAAAAATTATATGATACATATACTGTGTAATAATTAATGCAACATTATCTATTTTAATGTGAAAAATGCATGCTTCAAAAAATATGAAGTAAAAACTGCAAAGATAGAATTATATAAAGTATAATGTCAAAAGATAAGATTATACAACCTAAAATTTAGGTACTCTATGTATTGTTATGAACATTTATTTTTGAAAAGATAAGATTATAATTAGTAATTAATGACACTATAGAGACAATTTAACTTATATTAAATTAAAATATAATAATTATTTTTTAATTTTTGATTACTATAGGTAAGTAAAAGGTAATATATGTTCAAAGATAATTATCAATCATTTGACATTGAACGCTCGCACTCTTGACATTTATGGTGCTCGAAATTGGGACTTAATAGTAATTTTTTTACTACTGAAGTCATTTGGTTCGTGTTTTTTTAAATATAAGTGTATTAAAAAGGATTAAAACCATAATTTGAGTTCGGATGAACATACCTAAGACTTTTATTTTATTAAAACTGAAAACAAACGCTATATTTTATTTTTATTCTTATTTTGCTGATACAGCTGATGCAGATAATAAGTCGTTTCATTATTCATTCATGAATGCATGCATGCATTTCATCTTCAAGCAAGAGCCTTAGCCCTTTCCCTTAAAACAGCCTTCTTCAGCTTCCCCGTCGAAGTGAACGGCAGATTATCAAACACCACAGTCTTCGGCACCATATATTCCGGCAGCTTTCCACGGCAGTACTCGATGATCTCATCGGCACCGGTGGCCTCACACCCTTCCTTAAGCCTCACAAAGGCACAAACCGTCTCTCCCAACTCGTCATCCGGCTTCCCCACAACCCCGGCCTCGAAAACCGCTGGATGCGTAAACAGCACCCCCTCGACATCCACCGTGCCGATTTTCTTATCCCCGGAGATAATCAAATCGAGCTTCCGATCCTTAACTTCAATGTTCCCATCAAGATGTCTCACCGCGATATCACCGGTATGAAACCAGCCACCTTCGAACGCCGCTTTAGTCCTCTCCGGATCCTTGTAGTAACCTTTCGTCACGGTGTTGCCTCTGAACATCACTTCACCTAAAGTGAACCCGTCGAACGGAACGCTTTCCATCGTCTCCGAATCTTTAACATCGACGGCCTCCATCAACATGTGGTTCAGCCCATGAATAGCTTTGGTTCTCGCTTGTTCTTGAAGGGAAAGAGAATTATATTCCAGCCTCCATGGAAACACTGTTCCGGGGCCTAACATCTCCGACATGCCGTAGGAGTGAGTGAGAATAAACCCGAGCTCTTCGATCTTGAAAACAACGTGAGCCGGCGGTGGAGCGCCGCCGGTCATTATGTTCACCTTGAACGGAAGTGGTTTTTGGTTCGCGTTGGCGATTAAGCTAAGAACCGGTGTCGCACCGCCGAGGTTGGTCACATTGTGTTTGACGATGGCGTCGAATATGAACTTGGCGTCGTATGTTCTAATGCAAATGTTTGTGCCGCCGAGAGCGGCGGTCGCCCAAATGAAACACCACCCGTTGCAGTGGTACATAGGGACGGTCCATAAAAACACCGGCATGGCTTTCATCTCATTGAGAATGATTTGAGCTAGGGTTGTCAAATAACCTCCTCTGTGACTATGAACCACTCCTTTCGGATTCCCCGTCGTTCCCGACGTGAACACGATGGAGATCGGATTAAGCTCGCTCTTCGGCCTTACGATCTCCAACCCGGAATCCGGTTCGAGATCGATAAGCGAAGCGTAAGTTTTGTAACCGGAGAATCGATCAGCATCGGCGTCGGTTTTGGCCTCGGGGTTTGTCTCTAACATGAGCACGACGGAAGGAAACTTGAAATCGGAGCAGGTCTCCGTGATGATCTCGAGGGCTTCCACGGCGAGTTTGAGGTACTGATAATCAACAAACAAGATTTTAGCTTCAAGTAGTTTCAACTGTGCGGCTACCTCCGTCGCATCCTGGTATATGCTCAGTGGCGAAACGACGCCGCCGGCCATCGGAACCGCGAAGTGAAGCTCGTACAACTCTGGGATGTTTGGACCCAATGCGGCAACCTGTTCAAAACAATTGTCAAAATGTTATAACAAGGGTAAACGACACTAATCATCACTGCAATTTTTAAAAACGTTTACTTTGGTCACTGAAACCTAAAAACTTCTATTAGAACTCACGTAACTTGACACGACCCCTTAAAAACCTTAAAACTTTTCAATCCATGAGCATCACTGTCAATTGTCAGATGAATTGAAAATCGAATTATGTATAATCAAGCAAAGTCTTCCCACCGTTAATAATAATCAACGACTGTTTCGTTCATTAAAATCTTAATTTTTATGTCGACCGTCAAACTAGAACCCTAGATTTTCTTTTAGAATAAGACTTTAACATGTCACATGAAGTCATGAACTTTTCTTAACCACAGTAATAGCAGCGAAAGCGGATTAAAAATGTATTACAATCGTAACGGAAGTTTTAAAAGTCCGGTGATCAGAGTAAAAACGTCTCATCATTGTTTACCGATGTTGAACTTACAATATCACCATTGGAGACTCCCATATGATTGAGTGCAGAGGCAACTTTGCAGCATCTTTGAAAGGTTTGGTTCCATGTGTACTTCAACGAGCCATAAACAATGGAGATTCTCTCACCATACACCATGGAAGCTCTCTCAAGGAAGCTTATGGGAGAGAGAGGTACATAATTAGCCGAGCATTGAACCAAATGTTCCATATTTTCCAGATAACTCTTAATTTTCAACTATTTCTTCTGATATTAATGAAGAACTACAGGATATTCAGACGTTCATACATGTTTATCTATTTATATATAGATAGATAGATAGATATAGATATAGATATAGGTGGTAGATATAGATATAGGATGAGAATGTGGCCTTGGGGATGGATTTAGGAGTGTTTATGGTAAGATATCAACATATAAATCTTTGGATTTATTAACCTAGAATATGCTTAGTTGTTTTCCTTTAAATTACAAACAAATACGGTTGAAGTTACCATAGATTACGCTTATATTAAATTTTAAACCATATATGACAAATAAATCTAGTCACCAAAAACTTTAGTATAAATATTAGGGTAAATTACATGTTTAGTACCTAAACTATTAGTTTTGGTCCTTTTTAGTACATAAACTTTCGTTTTTTTAAATCATACCTAATGTTTAGCTTTTGTTTTGTTTTAATACCCTCCATTAAAAATTTAACAGAAAGGCTTGACGATCGTTGTGTCTACAGTTATTGACCATCGCATCATCGACCGATAAAGCCCAAACTTTCTAGCCCGCACCTTTTCGACCCCCTGAATGTGATCTCGACTTCTGTTTCATCGGAAAATGACTCAGTATTCCCAAATCGACGATGTACTCTTCAACTTCTTCATCCTCCGATCTTAGCCTTCAATCGTCTGATGGGTCTGAGATTGGACTATGTTGGTCCACTCGTTATTCTCTTGTGGTCCACCGTTCGAATTGGTCGTCCGTCCACCGGAGCTATGCCCCATCAGCCTACCGGTTAAATTTTTAACAGTGAGGTATTAAAATGAAACAAAAACTAAACATTATGTATGGTTTTGAAAAAAATGAAAGTTTGGGGACTAGAATGAACCAAAATTGATGGTTTAGGTACTCAAAACATAGTTTACCCAAAATATTATTATGAAGCTTTATCTATTGATTTAATAAAAGGGTAAACTACACATTTAGTTATTAAACTATTAATTTTGGTTTGTTTTAGTACCTAAACATTCAATTTTTTCAAAATCATATCTAATGTTTAGTTTTTTGTTTCATTTTAGTACCACACTATTAAAAACTTAACGCATTTAGTACCTAAACGATCAACTTTAGTTTGTTTTAGTAACTATACTTGCAAATTTATTTCAAAATTTAATGTTAAATTTTGAACAGTGTACTAAAATGAAATAAAAATTAAACTTTAGGTATGTTTTTAAAAAATGAAAGTTTAGGTACTAAAACGGGTCAAAACTGATAATTTAAGTACTAAAATTAACTCTTAATTCCCTAATAAATTTAGTCATCAAGATATCTCACTGATTAAAGGGATGGTTGTTATCCCTAAAGATTCCAAGTTCGAGCATCAACGACTTATAATCACCTTAGATTAATAAAAAAGAAGATTAAATAAGTCATTAAGGTTACAATTAAAATCAATTATGCTCTTGAACTCAGCTAAAAGAATCAATTAAGTTCTTATGTTATATCATCATTCACATCTGAACTATCATATCTATATCGTGGATCATTACATTAGCATAGTATTGTCACACTGATATTGTTAAAATTAATACAATTAAAAAATTAATGATAAAATTATTGATTTATGCTTCTTACATGAATAAAATGACCCCTTAAACTCATAGTTTATCGTATATTATAATTACGTTATATTGTATGCTTAATAACTATATATTATAACTATTGAAGTATATAGGTGATAATGGTCTCGATCTAGTAATTGAAGTATTGCATATGATGTTAGTCAAAACTGAAGATTGTTATCAATCGGTCACTCATTTTTAAGTTGCGGTTGATATGGTTATTTTTTGATGGCAAATGAGGATTATATAATGAAAATTAAGTAAACATAATGGAAATCGAATCGATTTAGGTCGAAAACTCGAAATTATTTTATGAGAAGAGAATCATACGTTCGATAACCCAAACGATAACGTCGGTGTCCGATTTAACCTCGGGATTCTTCTCTAGCACTAAAACAACAGGAAACTCGAAACCAGTACATATTTCAAATGAGGATCTCTAAGGCCTCAATGGCGAGTTCAAGGTACCTATGATTAACAAACAACACTTTAGTTTCAACTGCGCAGCTAATGCACATGGGTCCTGGTATATGTTCAATGGCGAAACGACGGTGTCCGCCATCGGAACAGCGGACTGAAGTCGTATAACTCCGGGGGTGTTCGGACCCGGTGCTGCAAGTGCAACATGTTATAAAAGAGTAAACAAAAAACTCGAACTCGAAACTATTTGAGCCACTGCATATGGTTCACCCGCAGGCAAGCGGGGTTCAGCCACTGCATGCAAAGGCTTCGCCAAGAAATGATCGTTTTCCGACATGGACAGATCGAAGTTAGCCTCGTTGTCAACAGCATCGCCGTCAAAGAGCCACCCGCATACACACACGTTTTCCAGTGCTAAAACTTTAATGTCACTTTTATTCTTTTTTAATTGAAAGTCGACGACAATGAAAGTAAATTAAAAGTTTATTGATTGTATAATAAAATTAAAAAGTTTGACGATTAAAATCCAATATTTATAAAAGTTTAGGGACTATTTCTGTCGTTTATCCTTAAAAACTTTTTGAGAAACGTGGCTGGATATAATTGGTTTATATGACAAACCTGCTATAATATAATAATAATAATAATAATAATAAATAAAATAAAATAATTCGACAATATGGGCGTTATGGCCTCAAACACAAACCCGGAGAATGCTCTGTTCTGTTTGAATCCCCAGTTTTCTCCAAACTTTTGTTTTTACGATTCATTCTCCCCCCAGAAATTTCCCTCAATTCTTTGATTCCTTTTTTCGATTATTTTTTGAAAAATAATTTCAACGCCCCCAATTTTCTAGGGTTTTTGATCGATCCGGGAAGGGGGGATATGGGTGCGGAAGGCGATTCCAGTGAGTCACGACTCGGTGGCAATGGAGGAGGAGGAGGGGAAGAAGAGGGAGTGGTGGTTAATATCCGCTGCTCCAACGGTACGAAATTTACGGTGAGGACCAGCCTCGAATCCAGCGTTGGATCTTTCAAGGCTCTTCTGGCTCAGAATTGCGATATCCCATCTGATCAGCAACGATTGATTTATAAAGGACGAATCTTGAAGGATGACGAAAGCCTTCAAAGTTATGGTATGCTTTAATTTCCTTCAGGGGAAAATTTTGTTTTTTCGCCCATATAATTTCGGGGTATTTCCTATTTTGATTGGATTATAAGAAAAAATTATAGAAAGCGGTTAGATTTCTGAAAGGAAAATGGTTCTGGTGACAAACTTTTGGAACTAGGAGGAAAATGCTTGATTTTCTTGGTATCGGTAATTAGGCTTTTAATTGAGAATATGCTGGTTTTTGTGGTTTGGTATTTGATTTTATTGAGCTGGTTTAGATGGCTATATATTTGATTGTTTAACTTGCAGTTAGGAAGCTTTTGACATGATCATAGACTTTGAAACAGAAAGGCATTAATGCTAACACTACGCTTTGATCACTCGACTTTTTCACTATTGAAGGTTTGCTAGCCGATCATACCGTTCACTTGGTTCGTGGTTTTGCCCCATCTTCTCCTCCTCCTGCGGCTACGACAAATATTGCAGCTGATAGTACTGCACCCGGGGTTACTCGGGGTATTGGTTCAACTGAGGGTGCTGGTCTGGGGGCTTCCTTATTCCCTGGACTTAGTCCACTTGGTAGTGGTGGTGGTGGCGCTGCTGCTGGCGGTGGAGGTTTTGGTTTGTTTGGATCTGGACTTCCTGAATTCGAACAAGTTCAGCAGCAACTAACAGAAAATCCCAACATGATGAGGGAAATAATGAATACACCTGCTATTCAAAGTTTGATGAATAGCCCGGAGTTGATGCGCAGCTTGATTATGAGCAATCCTCAAATGCGTGAAATTATTGATCGGAATCCAGAGCTTGGGCATGTACTTAACGACCCTAGCATTCTTCAGCAGACTTTAGAAGCTGCAAGAAACCCTGAACTCATGCGTGAAATGATGCGGAACACTGACAGGGCTATGAGTAACATTGAAGCCTCTCCCGAGGGATATAACATGCTTAGGCGTATGTATGAAAATGTTCAGGAGCCATTTTTGAATGCTACAACTATGGGTGAAAATAATCCGGGTTCGAACCCATTCGCTGCTTTGTTGGGCAATCAAGGTGGTTCTCAAGCTAGAAACTCAACTAATAATACTTCTACAACCAATTCTGAAACCGCTCAGGGCCAAACTTCCCCAAACACAAATCCACTCCCTAATCCTTGGAGCAACACTGTTGGTGGTGGTAAGCAATCTTTACTTCATTAAAGAATTTCTGTCTAGCCATACTCTTCTGTCCAGTGCGCATATTTTTCTATTGTACGCTCATGCTGCAGAGATGAAATGTGTCCCGCAACATTTTAGCACTAATGAAATGTTGCCTCTACTAGAATATCTACAATGTTTATACTATTTTTTTAGTTGTGGAAGGAATGATTCGTTTGTGACTCGTCTAATCGTAACCTGTTGTCCATGTTGAATTTTGCATGATTATGAATTACATATACTTTTTGTTTTGGGTTTTCCCAATATAATTGAGGGATTCCTTCTTATTAGGAAAAAAGAGATAACTTAAACCGATATGTCCTTCACCATTTTACCATGTTTGCCAGATGAAAGGCAACTTTGAGTAAACTAGATCATCTAAATATTTTGTTTTTTATTGGAATTTACTATTGTTGTAACTGTGTTTGTTTCCTGATGAATTGCTGTGTGCCGCAAATTGTCAGGGGGGACTCAGACCACCGCTACTGCAAGGCCAAATCCTGCAGCGGATTCCAGGACACCAGGTATTGGTGGTCTAGGAGGCATCGGACTTCCAGATATGCCTCCCATGTTGAATGCAATGCCGGATGCTTCTCAGTTGACTCAGTTATTGCAAAACCCAGCAATATCCCAGATGATGCAAAGCATAATGTCTAATCCCCAATATATGAATCAGGTATTTTGAGGAATCACTTCATTCGAGGTTTTCATTTTGTTAACAATCTGTCTTTACTTTTTAGATTATGAATCTCAACCCCCAACTGCAAGGTATGTTTGATTTGAATCCTCAATTGAGAGAAATGATGCAAAACCCTGAAGTACTTCGTCAAATGTTTTCCCCCGAGACAATGCAGGTATGTTGTATATATAAGCTCACCGGATCTGAGTTGGCCTTCTAGGCATGTATAAGGCTACCTTGTTTTTTCTTTCAAGTACTGTTTCAACAGTAAAGCACCCATGTTGACCTTTCCCTTTTTTCTTTCATTTCTTTCAGCAAATGCTAGCTTTACAACAGTCCCTTGCGTCTCTCAACAGACAGCAACCAACCCAGTAAGTGATAGTACCTCTGTCTATTCTGTTGGTAACTAAAAATTCAATCGCCTTTCGCTACTCTTGCTTTCACGGTTAACCTAAGGCTTCCTTACAGGGATTCAGCACCGACCGGTGGTACTACAGGTACAGATAAACACAATTCCGAACTGTAGTTATTCCTCGAACTGTTTAGGGCTTTCTCTAGTTTATTTTGCTCTCTCCTTTAACTGCTCTTCTTCCATCCGTCTTCATGTTTTTACCCTTCATTTCGTTCGATTGTATTTCCAGCGGGAACAGGAGCTGCTAATCTGGACATGTTGATGAATATGTTTGGCGGACTGGGAGCCGGTGGCTTGGGTGTCCCCAACCAACCCAATGGTCAGCATTCTTTTAACTTTACAAAAACTTTTATCCGAGATTTTACACTTCTGGGTCTCTACTAATGGCATCTTCGTTGATTTTTCCAGTTCCCCCAGAAGAACTGTATGCCACGCAACTATCACAACTCCAAGAAATGGGTTTCTACGATACGCAAGAGAATATCAGAGCACTACGAGCTACTGCCGGAAACGTCCATGCTGCAGTCGAGAGGCTTCTGGGAAATCCCGGGCAGTAATCCCTTGAAATTTCATGCTTTTTTTTAAGTAGACCAAGAAACTCTCAAATGTAAGATTATTTGATATTGGGTTGGAGCCCTATGCAAACCACAGAGATTATGGGGGGCAAATCGTTGCTGATTCCTTTGTTTTGGACGTGTTTAATAAGCGAGTAAACACGATAATATTATCCCCGAGGAATTTGAACTTGTTGATATTAGGCTTTATGCATGCATTTTGTGGATCATTTCATCTTTGCCACTTGCTTATGTACATGCACTTTGAATTATTGTTGCTTTCCCTAATTTTTATGAACTACAAGAAGATGATGCATTGTGATTTTTGTTCCTTCCTTTCACCAGTAACCGAAGATATCGGAATACTATTACGGCTTCGGATTGTCAACATTATCAGATGGGAGTGATGCAATAGCAATATTATCAAACAGCTGCTCTCTCCATACAATTGCTCCATAAACCCTATCCTATACAGAGTTTGGCAACAGAATTTGGTAGCTGTTAATATCTTTCTTATTCAAGGTCAATGAATTTATGGAAGGGATTGGTGTATATCCACTTGCCCTTCTTTCCTACACGACACTACTTTCACGTGCAATAATTATTTCTCAGCCTCTGCCTAATCAACACAAGAAGTCACTCTCAAACAAACAAGATATTTCCACTCAAAGTAAATGAGATCATTATCTCCAATTCTGGTTTATTTCATTGAAGCACACCATGGAATTCTCTACAAAATTTCAGCAACTCCTCCTTTCTGCAGTTTTTCCCAGCATAATTATCACCATATTTGTGGCCATCATCCTTGTTAAAGGCAATAAGAAACAGGAGAGGAGACCCCCCGAGCCTGATGGGGCGTTGCCGTTTCTCGGTCATCTTTATCTTCTCGGAAAAAACCAGCTGCTGCATAGAACCTTTGCAGACATGGCTGACAAGTACGACCGACGTTCTCGATCCGTCTCGGGATTCATCGAGCACTTGTGGTGAGTAACTTGGAAGTTGCTCAAGAATGTTTCACAACCAATGATAAGGTCTTCCTCAATCGTCCAAAGTCGTTAGCCATAAAGCATATGGGGTATGACCATAACATGTTAGGCTTTGCTCCTTACGGACCGTATTGGCGCAGTTTAAGGAAGCTAGCTACGGTTGAGCTCCTCTCGAATCGACGGCTCGAGTTACTCAAACATGTTCCGGACAAAGATTTCATCGATGTCATGTTGTCTATCATGGATGAAAGCAATGTTCCATCTAAAGAGGCTGATGTTACCATTAAATCAACTTGCCTGGTATGTTATTGTTAAGTAGAATCATGCAAGTTATATGCATCATACGAAAAAAGATAAACTTATCAGACAACTGTGATTGCAGAGTCTTGTCTTGGGTGGCATCTATACCAATGTTGTTACGCTTACATGGGCAGTCTCCCTGTTATTGAATAACCGCGATGTGTTAAAGAAGGCCCGAGATGAACTCGACACCCATATCGGGAAAGAACGACAAGTAGAAGAATCAGACATAAGCAACTTGGTATACCTGCAAGCCATTATCAAGGAAACAATGCGATTGTACCCAGCAGGGCCTCTATCTGTACCAAGAGAAGCTATGGAAGACTGCACGGTAGCTGGTTTCAACGTTCCGGCAGGCACTCGACTTTTGCTTAACCTCTGGAAGTTGCAGCGTGACCCAAGCATTTGGCATAAGCCATTAGAGTTCATGCCAGAGAGATTCCTCAGTGACCATGCTAACATAGATGTGAGGGGTCAAAATTTTGAGCTTATACCATTTGGTTGTGGTAGAAGAATTTGTCCTGGTATCACCTTTGCGCTTCGGTTCCAGCACTTAGCTCTGGCTCGACTGATTCATGGATTTGAATGGGGAACGGTCTCGGATGAAGCAGTCGACATGAGCGAAAGCATCGGAATGACCGTTCCTAAAGCTACACCATTGGAGGTTACTCTTACCCCAAAGTTACCTTCCATGCTCTATAGGTAATTGATGCAAAGATGCATAAGAATTCACTTGTTTGTGCCCAAAACTGATGTTTGTTTCTTGGTAATTGATGCATAAGGATTCATTTACAATCTAAACCACCAATTACACATCATGAATTTAAGAGGTTATTGTAACAACTCCATTACTCTTGTTCAACCTCAATCATTTAAAAACAGATTGTAGTCAGAGGCATCTATCTGTTCATGGCTGAACTGATGAGCTTGATTGGCCAATGCTCAATTGAAAGTCAGCTTAAGATCCAAGTTCTCAATTTAAGCTGGTGAATATGTAACACAGTAGGTGCGGATAAATCTATCTTTAGGAAACTATGTAAATAGATCTTAATTTTGGTCTAATTAACACAAGGAATCACTCTCGGACCCACAACCTAGATATTTTAATTATAAGAAAGAGAGAGTAGCTTACACCGTCTCTCCAATTCTGTTTTTATTATATATATGGAGTATATTATTTAGTTATTATGATTCCCTACGCAAATTAGTTCATTTCCATTGAAGCACATAATGGAATTCTCCATACAATTTCATGAACATCTCCTCCATGTACTTCTTTTCACCATATTAGTGGCCGCCATCCATGTTAAAAGCAAGAAGAAACATCAAAGGAGACCCCAGAGCCTACTGGGGCGTTGCCGTTTCTCGGTCATCTTCTTCTCGGAAAACACCAGCTGCTACATAGAACATTGACATGGCTGAAAAGTACGGACCGATGTTCTCGATCTGTCTCAGGATTCATCGAGCACTTGTGGTGAGTAACTGGGAAGTTGCACAAGAATGTTTCACAACCAATGATATGGTCTTTCTCAATCGTCCAAAATCCTTAGCCATAAAGCATATGGGGTATGACCATAACATGATTGGCTTCGTTCCTTATGGACCCATTGGCGCAATATGAGGAAACTAATAACGGTTGAGCTCCTCTCTAGTCGCCGGCTCGAGTTACTCAAACATGTTCTCGACACCGAAATCAATAGTTTTTTGAAGGAATTATATGAGCAATCGGCGAAAAACGGAGGCGTTGCGGTAGTGGAGATGAAGGAAAGAATTGGTGACTTAGCAACTAACATCATTGTGAGGATGATTGCTGGGAAAAGATATTATGGCACTGAAGGTAGCTGTACCGAAGAATCAAGGCGATGCCAAAAGGCCTTGTGTTATATCTTTTATCTGGCAGGGTTGTTCTTGTTTTCTGATGCGGTGCTTTTTCTTGGTTGGCTCGACTTAGTGACGGGAAACATAGGAAAAATAAAGCAGACAGCAAAGGAGTTGGATTTTTTTTGGGAGTTGGATTTTTTTTGGGAGCTGGCTAAACGAGCATCGCGAATGGAGGTGCAGCGAGGACCAAGATTTCATGTTGTTTGTCATAGATGAAAGCAACGTTCTGGCTGATGTTACCATCAAAGCAACTTGCCTGGTATGTTATTGTTAAGTAGAATCATGCTAGTTATATGCATCACATGAAAACAGATAACCTTATCAGACAATTGTTATTGCAGAGTCTTGCCTTGGGTGGTATCAATACCAATGTCGTTACGCTTACATGGGCAGTCTCCCTGTTATTGAATAACCGCCACATGCTAAAGAAGGCCCGAAATGAACTCGACATCCATGTCGGGAAAGAACGACATGTGGAAGAGCCCGACAAAAGCAACTTGGTATACCTGCAAGCCATTATCAAGGAAACAATGCGATTATACCCGGCAGTGCCTCTATCGGTACCGAGAGAAGCTATGGAAGACTGCACAATAGCTGGTTTCCTTGTTCCGGCAGGCACTCGACTTTTGATTAACCTCTGGAAGTTGCAGCGTGATCCCAGCATTTGGCACAAGCCATTAGATTTCATGCCGGAGAGATTCCTCAGTGGCCATGATAACATAGATGTGACGTGTCAAAATTTTGAGCTTATAACATTTGGTTGTGGTAGAAGGATTTGTCCTGGTATCACCTTTGCGCTTCGGTTCCAGCACTTAGCTCTGGCTCGACTGATTCATGGATTTTAATGGGGGACGGTATCGGATGAATCAGTCGATATGAGTGAAAGCATTGGAATAACAGTTCCTAAAGCTACACCATTAGAGGTTACTGTTACCCCAGAGTTACCTTCCATGCTCTATAGGTAATTGGTAAAGATGCATAAGCTTGGTTTGCAGTTAATTTTTGTTGAATGCACATGTGTATACCCAAAACTGATGTTTGTTTCTTGAGAATCTGATAATTAATGAAAGGAAAAGCATTCAAGTATACTTCTTTTTGAAGAATAAATCATATATTGCTTCTCAATTGAGATCCATGCAAAGAATCTGTTTTTCCTATATCTAATTTTACAATTTGAAGAAGAAAGAGAATGGTTCATGAGGTTGAGCTTGCCTCAATATCAGTAGATGACATCTCGGTGTTAACTAAGCTATTTTCGATTTCGTTCCACTTAAGAATGTGCCTGCTGTACCTTAAAGCTTCATCAACAGAATCAGGCTCCAAGCCTGTAACCATCGAAACGTACAGCTTACGATCAGTAAGAGAATTGAACAATCTCTTGAACTTGGTAGCGATGTACTGGAAGGCACTCTGCGATAGCGAAGTGTGATTATTTCTATTACTGCTGCAGTTGTTGTATAGATTATGGCCGATGACTGGATTGAAGTCATGGAACCATTCACATCGAGTGAGAGGGACCTGCTCGATCTTTTCCTCGAGCAGGTCAGCTTTGTTGAGTAACAGAAGGAAGTTCTTTTTCTCAAAGGTTGGATGTGTAACTATACTTTCAAACAATTGCTTGCTTGCCAACATTTTGTTTGTGCGAACTCCATTACTGTCAAATGAAAACTCATCATAATCGGTCAACGAGACAGAAAATAGGACAAAATCGACGTCTTCAAACATTTCCAACCATTTACATTTCTCCCCGAGGCTACTGTGATGCAGTCTAATAAGCTGGTACCTGTTGATTCAAAGAAAGAAATGCTAAGCATGATATATATATGAACTCTACACGTTGAATATCTATTCCAAGGAATAAAGTGAACAGTTTAAGCATAGGCTCTAACCTTGCTGATGGATCATGCTGATAACCATCAATATCGATTTCTCGTTCGACTTGGGGGAAAGAGAATTCCATGGAAGAGAGTCCATTCGATGATGTAATTCCCTCGGCATACAAGATATCCATGTCGGATGGCTCATAATCTGTCCTAGCGATCTCCACAGCCTGAGAAGAAGATAATTGCAAACTATCAGCTTTAGTGTCTGTTACTAAGAAACAAACAATTCAGCAGCCCACTTTAGTTAAAATAAAACCCCATAGAGCAAGCTTACCCGTTCTAGGAAATAAGTAGCAATTCTAGGCAGCATTTCTAGTTCGTGCCTCCGGTTATACGTGGCCTGAAAGGCTGCATCATTCCAGAGCTCCCCAATAAATGGTGCATATTCACGAGTAGCAGCGGGGAAGATGACTTCCAAATTGCCGGACACCATCACTTGCACGAGCCAATCCGAGAAAGCTTTCATTCTTGGGGAAATGGAATATTTTGTTTTGCCGTCAATCTGGCTTGCACCACCTGCTTTCAACGATGAAGCTCAAACTCTATTTCGAAATATATTAAATTATTCTATGACACCTAGCCAAATGGTAACAGTGATACAATCAGGTCCATTTGAGGATTATCACAACTGATCTTTGAGAAAATGCATACAGAATAAATCATTATTATTCTCTACCTGGAGAACCAGATCCATCAGCAATCTGCCTTTCTCTATCCTCCTGTAATATTTCTTCTTCAAATTGTTCTCGCCCCTGAAGCAATATAGCAAGATAGCCATACAAATTGCTTTGGATCATCGATTTGATACTTTGGCGTTCGTTTTCAGAGAAAGAATTGTTGTACAGAATCTTGGCCTGAAATAAGCAAGTTACGAAGGTTTCATTAGAGAGCCTATTCTGCACTTCCAGTGTCATAAAACCAACGTTCAGTGATCATAAACGTCGAGAAAAAAATCCAAATCATTATTGAAAGTAATGGTGTCTAGGAGGAAAAACTAGGATTTATTTGCAATCTAAACCACTAATTGCATATTATGAATTTAAAAGGTTACTGTAATAACTCCATTACTCTTGTTCAACCTCAATCGTTTAAAAACAGATTGTAGTCCGAGGCATCTATTCATGGCTGAACTGACGAGCTTGATTGGCCAAAGCTCAAAGGAAAGTCAGCTTAAGATCCAAGTTCTCAATTTAAAAGGAAGGCGTGTGTAAAAGAACATAAGTAACAATTCTATTTACGGACACCAAAAGTGGGGAAAATGTTAACTGAAATATGTTTCCATGATCAGTATAATACCTGCTTATATATCGTACTCGTGCCGGACTTTGGATACCCAACTAGAAGAATTTTGGGAAGTACTTGCTTCTCTCGAGCTCTATGGCTGGCGTCCTCTCCAGAAGGATTCACAGTATTAGGAGGAACCGGCAAAGACAAAAGAGCACAAAAAAGCTTGATTCCCATCTGAAAATAAGGTACATCCTGGTTAATTCTGGTGTATGATACAAGGGGGGGGGGATTGTGCCTATGCAAATATACCTTGTTCCATATCGGCCCCTTTATATTATTCTGACCCTCTTCCTGGTAGGATCCATCGGCACTCAGCCAATAGCTAGGATTTCCTTCACAGTGAACTCCTGCTAACTGCAAATATTTAACAGAATGCCATTTATTGAACTTGCATTATACGTCTATGAAAACATCCATTTAAAAGAACTCAAACAGGTAAAGCACAACAACCTGCAGCATCCACAGCTCTTTCTTAGTAATCACCCGATTATTTACAATTATTTTCGTATTTCCATTGCTAGCATCTCTCCTGATGTGAGCTCCGATATTTAGCTGGGCAGTAATAATCTGACATGGCCCGTGTCCTTCCTGATTTCGACATAGGCAGTAGTTCATTTTTTTATGGAAGAGAATGACAGCTATATCAAATAAAAGAAGAGCTAAAGTTTGTTTATTACCTTTCCCCAGAATCCGGACAATTTATCATACCAATAGAATCCGGGTTTTAGTTTCTCAGGTGGGTTTTGGCAGGTCTGCAAGACCTGTAACTCATCTTGAGTCATTGGCTCTCCATTCACGACAATCAGCTGTGGTGGTAGCTGGTTAGCCTCACAGGCCTTCTCCGACCTCATTACCCTTTGAACTTCCAGCTCACCGAGCAGCTGCTTGAGAAGCCGAGAACGTTTTCCGAGAGTTTCTCGCCTCGACTCATGTATCTTCTTACCTATGCAAGTAGTACATTTTCTTCCCTCTGGCATCGACCCCATTGTTCTCAATACACACTTATAACAATACTTGGCATTACAGACAATGCATATCTCTTTCTCTGTAAACCGGTTCCCCTTTAAGCACCTATAACACGACCCCTTTTTTCCATTCCGCGCGACAGGTTGTTCATCACCGATGATGCTTTCTGTCTCGGAATAGTTGGATTCTTCCACATCACATGAATCGGGTTCCCGGAATGTTACCACAGATGGTCTTCTGACATGGCCAGGAGTCTCATTGTTAACATCAAAAATCTCCTGAATTTCAGAACTTCCTACTCCACCATGACCATCATCGATTCTCTTACTCAATGAATCCAAACTATTAATGGTAACCGATGATCCATTCGACAAACCGGGATGGACAATGGATTTTCCAGCAGAACCAGATTTAGAAGCAAATCTTTTGTCCCTGGATGGTTTCTGGTTCACTGGATTTATCTTGACAATCGGTTGGATAACTGGCAATGGAATGTCATTCAAAGAAAAGGAAGAGGAAACTTCGGCAGCCGTCGGGAGGCGGTCGACGTCCACCGGAACCAACTTGGGGATATCAAAAGTGATCGGAGGACCACGGTACTCAATAGCAAAAGAGTATTCAATGCTGACATCATCATCTACAGGAGATGATTTCTCAAAAGGAAGGATTTTCCTTAAAAGGGTAGCCATGATTTCTTTCAAATTCTCAATTCCAAAAATTAAAACACCAATACTAATCCCATAAACTCCCAGATTTATCTCAACAATCCATGAATCAGAACAGCCAACAACCAAAAGAATCAAACTTTAGAAACCCATTTGGCTACCAACTCTTTCAAACAATCAAAACAAGCTAAAATATTTACTTTTAATCCCCAAACTAAGCTGAAAATCAAGAACAGAAAGGAAGAGCCGGGGAATTTGCAAGCAAACAAATAAAGAACAATGAAGATGATGATGGTGGGTCTTGCCTAACCAGTAAGCTAAGGAGACCCGAGTGACGACCGAGTGGCATGCTTTTTAGTGTTAAATTCATGAATGGGTCAACACGGTGATGAAGAAATTGCCGGGAAACAATGATGGAAACTTGAGGATTGAAGTCGTCAAACATTTGGCCTGGCTGCATCATCATCAACAGCGTGTTTACGGACCTTTGGGTCAATAAATAAATAAGTCAACGTGGGACCAAAACTGGAGGCTAATCGGTTCTTTGACATTTTGACGCAATTTGCAATTACGTCATCTATTTTAGTGTTTCTTTTACGTTTGGATGCCGAGAAAATGGACGCAGTGCGAAGGAAATGAAGGAAAGTATTTGGTAATATTAATTTTTTTTTAAAATAGATAAGGTGTATTCAACATAGCCTATTAATTATATATTGGGTCAATTATGAGTTTAGTACCTATGCTATCAGTTTTATTCAATTTAATATTTAAACTTTTATTTTATTTTTAAAATTTAGTTTTTATTTCATTTTAATATCTTCGTTCAAAATTAAAAGTTTAGGTACTAAACTGACTAAAATTGTTAGTTTAGGTACAAAACCCGTTAAGTTTTTCACGACGAGTATTAAAATGAAATAAAAAATAAACGTTAGATATGATTTTAAAAAAATTAAAAATTTAAGTATTAAAACAGACCAATATTGACAGTTAGGTACTAAACCTTAGTTTACTCTTATATATTTTGTTACTTTAGTACTTATTAAAGGTGTTTGTAGGTTAAGTTAGAATTCGATTTAAAAGAAATTAAATTTTTTACCTTCGAATATTTTGGGTGTTAAATTTAGAAATTATATGAAAAAAAATTAAATTATAAACTTTTTATTGTTAAATATATTTTAAAATATGAGGTTAATTTTTTTTAAAGGGCGATAAAACATTTC